AAAGAAACTACATCGAATGATGCGGACAAACCTGAAAAACTAACAACAACTGAAGACTCAACAAACAATGAAAATAAACCCGATGACAAAATTAAATCTGGCGATATCGAAAGTGAATCCGACAATAGCAATAGTGAACATGGGGAAGTGAATTCAACGAAAAGTGAAACAAAAAAGCCGAATGCTGCAGATAACGAAATTACAGATGATATGGATACCGAATCTCAGTCAGAAAGTGAGAGCAGTGATTCAGAATCAGAGGTTTGGTCAAAAAATGACATTAATAGTTTCTATTGTTTGGATTCAATCTTCAAAGATTAAGTAAATTTTCAAAGTTTAATACATGACTGTATGCAAACATATGACCCACAAAAAATTAACAAATTCAAACCGTTCACTCCCAATGAAACCACATTTATGACTAACCCTGTATAATAATTTATATAAATTTTCGAGTTTAATGGGATCAGTATTTGGAAGTGAGGTCGATGTTTTTAGAGAAAAGGGCAATTTCATTTGAAAGAGGAAACTTTGGATTTCAAACATATAAATTGATGAAACAATGAAGCAACATGTAAAGATTTTACTTGTTTTTCTTTTTGCAGGAAAATGGTACAGCAGAAAAGACTAAGACCACAGAAGCAACAGAAGAGGAACGAACAGATGAGACTGTTGAATCATAGATTTAAATGTAAACAATTCTCCAGCCCCTATTTCCCAATTTATTTATTCGAATACCAGCGCTTGCCATGCGCTGAGAAATTTATCTATGTACAAAATTATTTCTAACTTTGTTCGATGAATATTTCATTGCAAAATCCATGTAATATTTATGAAATATTTTTGTTTACAAAAAAAAATTATCAAAATTTCAGAAAATAGATTTCTCAGTGTGTATTTACTTGGTTGGTTTTTAAGCGCGATTTATCGTTAATGACTCTTAACTCTGGCATTTCTCATAACGATAAAATAGCGTTGTTGAGCCACTGATACGCGTTTTGTTATTTTCTCAAATGATCAATCTTTCATTTCAGTTTAAGCCTTCTTCTTTCATGCAAAATTTGTAATGTAAAAGTAATTTTTCGTTGAATAAAACATCTAATATGCCAGGAAAAAAACAATTTTTTTACATCATCATGAACTCTATGTATTTGTTTTTTTTTGTTTCATTATCTTTATTAAATATCTGAAGCAAAAAAAATGACTTAAAAATGTAAGCTACGATGAGCAGGGTATTGAAAGGTGAGTTTTGGCGAATAAAGTAAATGAGGATTTTTTTTAAAATGTTGTTTTAAATTCAACGATGTCTAATTTTCTTTGTTGCGTTGCCAGTTTTCTTAGCAGAACTGGCTTTCTGCTTTGCACTGCTGCTCGGTGTTGACGCATCTTTTGAATCAGAGTGTTTTGAATGTGGCGTATTCGGTCGATCTGGAGATAGAAATAATAACTGATTGATTCTAGTAATTTGGATAAACTTCAAAGTATCTTACCAACTGAGTCCAGATTTTTGCCAGCCGATTTTTGATGTATGGATGTATTATTACCCGAAATCGTACCAATTATCGTATTGTCACTAGAATCTTCGTTGGTTACTTCTGATTCACTATTGCGATCTGACCTGAGAATCACGAGATGAAAGAATAAACATTTATCAAATCTGCACACTTATGTAGCACTCAATCGTATGAGTTGTGAATTAATGGAAAAATAATCATAAAAAAATAAATAGGAATTATGGAATGATGAAAAAATACCTTCCATCTGGCTTTGTATCATTCTGATCGACCAGCTCACTGACAGCTGCCATTGAAGTGATTGATGATTTAGAAAATAGTCGTTCAGCTTCTTTAAATTTTCGATTCCGTTTGTCAGCCTTTGAATTAGTCCCTTTATTTGATGTCAAATATCGATCCCAACCACGTATAATGTTACCATATAATTGTGTGTCTTCTAAATATGACCCCTCAAATGCATAGATCTGTCGTTCTAAATTGGCCAATGTTTCCTAAAAATCATTGAAAACATTATTTTCGGTCAAAGAAAATTCAAATTAAATAAAACGGCAAATGGATCTATTACTAACAGCAATTTCGGCCTTTCGTTTTACCAAATCTGCCAACTCCGTTCGTGTATCAAGATTTGTCGACGACTTGGTGACATTCGTTGACTTCGCCTTGCGTTGCTTCATCGATGAATTTTCATTGGTGTGCTTGTATATTGGTGAACTCATATTTAAAATTTATGTTTACGTCTTTTATGCTACCAATAGATTTTATTTCATTTAAAATTGGCTCTTTTGTTAGTTTTGTCAGAATTGTCGCAAAATTAAATGCTTTTTTTCAAATTGATGGAGAGATTTCGAATGCACACTGTTTAACAACAAATGACTTTACTCCTGTCAAAATGTCCAATGAAATGCCAAGCGGATTCGTTCAGTTAGCAAAAATATATGTCGTAACTTTAGGCGCCCTCTGCCATCACATAAGTACATTAAATATCAATTGTATCGGGTCAAAGATTCTGTCATTCTTTGTCAATCTTTGAATTAATGACAAAACATAAATTAATATTTAAAAATAATTCACGCACTTGATAATTAAAAAATGAAGACGGAATTCGTGCCGCGAGTAAATCAAGTATGATTTTTCAATTCCGAAAAATATAGTTATCTTTTGTGCATTGACAAATTTTAAATGTTTTTTTTTTTAGCTTGATGCTTTGCAGTTAGATCGAGACATCATTCGAATAATTCGCAATCAGCTAATTGATGGTGTCCAAATGATATGGGTACTTTTTTTAAAAACCCATATTTATTTTTGTTCACTATTTTTAACTGACGAATGTTAATATTTTTACATTTTCAGCCAGGTTTTATGAATAAACTGAGTCCTGAAGTTGATTTACTTTTGCGAGCAGCAATTTGGAATTATTCAGTTCGTTTGCATTCGGCAACATTTGGTCAACGTCTATTGTTTATATCATACGATAAAAATCAGCTTATGAACAACGCCAATATTTATAAGCATTTCTTTTTAAATGTTTTTCTCAAATATGTCCGAGATAATATTACGTTCCGTTGGATTCACCGGCAGACACTTCAAAAATGTGTGACTTACTGTGAAAATGTCATAGCATTGTGTACGATGTTAAATTTTTTTCGATTTCTACATGGGGGAAAATGTCCATCGCTAGTTGATTATATATTGGGTCTGGATAATATTTCAATGTTTGGTAATCGACGTCGCGAAATCGGATATAGTCATATGACTCGCGAATTGATTTGGGGTGGTTTTATGGTACGCTTTATCACAGTGTACTATGAAAAAACTTGCAATGCACCGAATTATTTATCGTTAAATTTAACTTGTTTTTTTTTTTCTTCATAGGAATTATTGGGTTTCACATTGCCGCTAATCAACTTTCATTACGTCCGACGGAGGTGCAGGAATTTATTACAGAAGTTTAGAGAAAGTTCAATCGATACTCGCAATGATAAAAAACCATGTCTAAATGTCAATACCAAATGCGCATACTGTAATGAACGTCCGACTTTACCATATCACATGGGTTGCACACATGTATTTTGTTATTATTGCTTAAAGGGAAATCTCTTGGTTGATTCGAATTTTGAATGCCCAATATGCCAGCAAAAAAAGGATTTTTTTGAACCACTATAAATGTGATAGATAGATATAGAATATTATAAGATAAGAAAATTAAATGAACGGGAATCAAGGCTTTTGCTTGTTACGAATAATAATAATATTTGTTTTTCATTTATTTTCGATATTTCATTTTATTCCATTTCAAAGAGAGAGGTGATAAGTAACAAAAATCAAATGATTTCAATCGAAAATTTGTTGCTCATGATAGGAACTATCAAATGACTGCACTCGAATATAACCATCTTCACCGCCGGTTGCATAGCTTCTACCATCTGGATGTATGGCCAAACTGTTAATTGGACCGAAATGTCCCTTAACTCGAGCGAATTCTTCTTCATAGATTAAATGGAAGAATCTGGAATCGAATTTGCCGGATCGAGTTGACGTGGTAGTTACTTCCATCGCATCTTGTCCACCACCCAATATAACATGATCGTAAATTGGACTAATAGCGGCTGAATTGACTGGACGCTCGGTTTTGTATGTCTTTAAGCATACCAAGTTGTCACTGTCAAACAATTTTGATGATGTATCTTTCGATGCCGTAACAAACATTGTTCCGTCCTTAGATAATTGCATATCGTTGATGTTAGCTGTATGATCACGAACTGAGTTCAATTCCTTGGCCATACGTAAGTCATACAATGAAATTGTTCCATTTTCATGACCGGTTATGATGTTTTGGTCCAAATTTGCCCATAGAGCTGCTGTAATTTTTGATTGTGGGAATGGGATGCGTAATATTGGCTCTGCAGTCGATGTTGAGGCGTCAATGCAACGTACATCAATGATCACTAAATTCGACACTTGTTTATTCGAACTGTCAGTACTGTAAGCGGCCTGGGTACCAGCGTAGCTGAAGTTTGAAGTACGGACTGATGAATTGCATTTAATTGTAGCCAAATCCTTTCCAGTTTCACAATCCCATAATCTGTGATAGAAAAGCACAATTTCTTTTTATATTGTATTTATATCCGGGCAATGAAATCTTTAGTAAAAAGTTAGCTAGCAAATCCATTTAAACATCATGATATACTTATATTTGTAAACTGGGTGGATTTTTTTGGAATTGGTTACTCACTTTGCGGACATGTCACCGGAACCGGTTATCACTTTGGTTGATGTCCAGTCAACATCAATGCACCAAACAGCGCCGATGTGTCCATTGAATGTGCCCAAACGTTCACCGTTAACCGAAAACCACACATTTGGCTTTTGATCTTTGCTCGATGAGAAAATCAAATCACCTTCGCGATTGTATTTTATTTGCGTGAGAGCACGATCATGTCCATGAAGAACGATTGGTTTCTGTAAAAATCATAGGTTAAGTGCATATTATTTATCAGTTGTTCACAGTGCACATTTTTTTTTCTCAAATTTAATAAAAAATTTGATTAAAATTAATGAAAATATCATCACAAAATTCCAATTGAAGGAAATACTTGCCATATTTTCAATATTTGTCCTGGCGTTTTAAATTAAACTCAAATTTAGCTTACACGTTTTACACAAAATGATTGGTGTGTGTAAAAAAGACCAACCATTCAATACTGTCAATTACTTTGGAAAAATGAATGGGTGAGAGATCTCAAATGCCTAGCAAACAATGATGAAGGAGGGAGATAGGTATAATGCTAACAGAATATATATTGAGGAAAAATACGAAATTTCGTACAGAGCTATGGTACATTGCTCATAGATGGAGTAAAACAAAAAACACTTACGAAGCATAATTTTTTAACCATTTCTTTTGAATTAAATAAAGAATAACACGTTTAAATAATCATATTAAAATTTCAATGTCCGATTTTATTTAAGACAAAAAATAAATAAAATAAAAAAACCGATTTGTGAAAATGAAATCAAATGAAGTTGTATGCGTTTTGCCATAAAGAATTTCATTGACATTCGAAATAATTCCTTTGTTTCATTGAATTGGTTTTTAAAATGGATGTCACTAAAGTATTATACATGGAAAAAAGAAAAATTTGGGTCCATTATGAGTAATTACGTACACACATACATACATACATACATACGTATATATACATGTTCAAAATCAATCGTAGTGGAACAAAAAAACATTAAACAGCAGAGAGAAAAAACATTCCGAACAATTTTAAAACCAAATAAAATTGATTTTTTTTGTTTCATCTTTTACCAAGAAAAGCAATCATTTGCCTGATTCTCGTTGCAATAATTTTGTTATAATACGATTGCATTTAAATTTTCCAATTGGTGCTCGTTTCCATTTTTTCTGAATTTATTTTACTTAAAGTGATATAAAGATCTCATGGATAAACAACAAAAAAATGGTACATAATTGAAAAAAATATCTTAAATTTTTGTTGAAGCGAGAGAAATCTTAGATTATTCTCAAAATTTTCATTTTAAATCGACTTACGTACGAATAACGTTATTCAAAATAAAATTTTAGTTTACCCAAATCAACAATCAGTCAACTATAACATGATGAATCCGTTGCACTTACCCACAGCACCGCAACATCATCCACACGCTGGTCAACCACCCCAGTTTTATCAGGTAAATTCTAGAAATTTGAATGAATTAATAATGCCCACGAAAATTGATACAATATAGAAACAATTTATTGTGATATAAAATAAAATACACACACAAACTTGTTACATATAATAAAATCAATAAATTTTTGTTAAGGTTTGATTGAATTTAATTTCAATAGAAATTTTGAAAAAAATATTTCTTAAATCATGTGTTGCTTCAAAATTTTGATATTTAGATTCCTTCAATGCAACAGCCATTATACTATGCAGCATCACCACAAACTTATTCTCCACATCCAGTTGCGCCTCAGCATTTCATGATGCCACCTCCGCCGTACTCAAGCACACCCCAATCGTACTCGATTATTCCAGTAGCGGCACCGATTACAGCACATCAGACTAATGATACTACTGGAATGCGTCCACCTCACATGTTTCATAATGTGGCTGCTGCTCCGCCAGGATATACAATGGCTCCGCAAGTATGAACAATTCTAGCTAAACATTTCATTATAAACAAAATACAATCAAAAACCATTTTTTTTTTTTATTTGTTTGAACATTGTTAGACCGCAATATTTGATGCTGGTGCACGGTTCAATGGGAAAGCTCCGGTAATTCCACCACCTGCACCTGGATATCTACCAAATGCAGCACAAGTTGCTGCCATGCAAGGTCAACCGGTAATATCTATTATTTTGAACGAAATTGATTAAATCTTAACTAATCAAACATTTTTATCAGGTCATTGTAGAGAAGAAGAAAAACAATTTCTTTACAGGAGGCAAAGGGGGCGGCTATACCTTTTGGTAGTTATAGTCAATATGTCATCGCCACTTCAATACACCAAAAATATAATAAAAAAAAAAATATTAATTTAATAATGAATGAATAGCATTAATTTCGAGTTTTTTTAGATGAGCGAGATGATTTTGTGCGAACGTCACCATAAATAAAAAGAAATAAATTAACGAAAAAGAAAATAAAAAACAAAATCGAATGTTGAAAAACATAGAATTAGACGAAGAAAAAAAATCTGTATATTTAATCGATTAATAAAAATTTCAATTGACAAAAAACTCATTTTAGCTTCTTTTTTAATCAAAAAACAATCGAATCTTTAATGTTTTGATTCTTATGACCACTAAATAGGAATACAAAATGAAAAATTAATTTAATGTTCCATTGGTTGAACGTCAGTTATTTCGGTTTTAATTTCAATATCGGCTGGTTTATGTTCGCTTGTATCATGGCAAATGGTGACATTTTTATCGGCGTCATTTGGTATGGAATTTTCTTTTGGTTCCTCTTTTGCTTCGATTTTGAATTCAATCGCTGACACCACTTGAGAAGAGTCCATCTGTGATTTTTCTGTTTCATTGGTATCCTCCTTTTTTATATTAGTTGAATTGAATTCCGATATTGTTTCTTCATCCGAATCTGATTCGTACTTCTTCTGTGAATAGTTTCGTTGTGGTGGCAGTTGAATATGTAACGTGCACGTTGTATCTTCAAAAATACCAGGCATTGGCTCTTTACAAATCACACCAGCTTTTTCAATGTTACATGCTCGAAAAAGCACTTGTTTTTTGTCTTCTAGAATATGTTTTCGACAATATTTACTTGATGGAATTATTCGGTCACCACATTTAACACCGCCCTCAGTAAAAACACAACGCATGTGAAACGATGGTTTTGAAGGTACTAAAACACCATCGCGGCTCTGAAAAAAACCCCCCATCAAATCGAAGAAAGAAATTTAATATAGTTTTCAATAAATGTGTGATGAGATTAAGCTTACTTTTTGTCTCTTTTCAAGAAACTTCTTATGTAGAATAGCTTCCACACCATTTCGCCTTTGATATTTATTCAAAGCCTTCAGTTTTTCATAAATTTTACGTTCTGAGATCGTATCTTTTGTTTGTTCGTGAATACTACACAAGGTTTCTCGCTCCGTTCGAAGTGTATGCAAATAGTTTCGGCGCTTCTCGCGCAGTAAATGTTTTAGTCGATACAATTGATCGATGTACAATGCTCGTAAACGCATTAATTTTTCTGTTGTTATTTTGGTAACTAATTCTGTTGTATAAACTTCGGCATGCCTGAAAATTAAAATTGAATGAAATAAACCAGATACCAATCTATGTTATAAAACATTCAACTCACTTTAAAAAATCTTCATTTTGGGAGTCAACGCTTTCATTATCAGAATTATCCAAATCTTGACCACGCCATGTATTGTTCAATGTTGGTAATTCCAAATCAGATGAACTATCTGAAGCGTAGTCTAAGATTTTTCGTCCGCTTGTATTTATAGAGGCTGCATTTACATCAACTAAAAAAAGTCAAGAATAAATCGAAAATGTTCGAATTGAATTGCACGATTGGACAATAATATACTCACTAAATGGGTCAATAACTGGTTTTTCGTCACGTTGATCGACATCGTTTCCATCATATGGACTACGAACGGTAATATTACTTGAATTCACATTGTTAATAAGATTTTTGGTTTTACTTAGGTTCAAATGATGCGTCAATTCATTTAGAATTGTATCATTTGTATCGACTGCTTTAAATTTTCCGATGCTGGTTCGTGTTTTGGTAAGCTGCGCTAGTCTACTGTGTTCAAAACAGTAGCTGGTTAAAACATCTTTTTTTGGATCATATTTTGGGGCTGGTTGCAAACATCGTTTACCATTGGTCAACAAAAATGTACACATTAAATATGGAGCGGTTGGATCTTGAAGAATGTGCCGTATGCAGTATTCGTATCCATCAATTCGCGGCAATGAACATTCATACGCAATGTTTGAACAGGCTTTTGTTTTATTTGCAATTTCAGCGTGCAACTGATCTCGGAGATCCTTTTCTTGTTGTGCCGTAATTTTTGGCGGCGTACGAATTTTCAAACCACCATTTCGGTTCAAATTTTTTGTCACAATCGTTGGTTGGGTTGACATGTTTCCATTCAAATTTTCTCGTTACTCTTCGAATAAAGAAATTATATTTTTCTTATCGTCGTATCACAAAACTAAAAATAATTATACTAACAAAAAAAAATTCAATTCACTGACTGAATGAATGAAATACGGTGTTTGTTCTAATCGACAACAACTTCGTTAAAATGTCATGCATTTGTACTTCTGTAATACATTGCTTGAATACATCGATTGAACACTATTACGTCAACATTAATATGAGCGGCCATTCAATGATAAAAACAGTTTCGCTGAGCACGTTTTTAAAATTTATTTCAAAGCCACTGTTCACAAAATTGTTTTACTTTTAAATTGTAAACAATAGTATTTTGGAAATTAATGTTTCTATGTTAAATTAGCAATCAAGATTCGAATTCGAATAATAGCAATGCAGAGCTCAAATTACAAACTGATGAAATTATCCATCACTTTGTGAAACAATTGATGCGGAGTTTAATATTGTATTGGAAACAAAATACTGCGTAAGCGAACATATTAAATGGTTAGAAAGAGAAAAGGAGGTAGAAAGAGGCCAAATATGGTACTAATATGGTACTATCAAAATGTGTGTTTACTAAGCGTTGGTAGCGTCTCTACAGGGAAATATAAGTTTTCACCATTCTTCATTCGTCGAACGAAATGAGTATTTCGTAATCGAAACGACAATATAAATAATGAGTTTCATCATATGTTGAAATAATGTTTGATTTGAAATTATTTTATAATTGCATCGTGCTATTTCGTTTAGTCTTTAATCAAATAAAAATAATTTATAAAATAAAATAAAAAATAAATATTTTTAATTCAAAATAGAAATGTACGATTGATTTTATTTCGTATTTGCATTATTACGTATACGATGAAAGACACGCGCGCACTTCCATACACTGGCATTATTTAACAGTACAACAACATGAAGTTGGCAGCACACACAAACACATTGGGAAAATCGCATCGCATTGCTTTAGCTCCGATTTTCTATGCCAGTGTTTTTGTTTACTTCAAAAGTTAAAAATTATTTATAAAAACATATAAATAATTTGAAAAACAAGCCAAAACAGTTTTCAAAACTTCGACGACAATTCCACGTAATCGTGCGAAAAGACTTTTGAAGAAAAACTCGACAGCAATTTCATCGCATATATTCAAAGTAAATGCAAATTGGAAGTGTGGTGTTGTGTATGTGTGCTTTGGAAGTTTGACCATCGAAAAAAATTGAGAAAAAAATATATATAATAAACACGTAACATTGAAGAAACGAGTAAAGCAATCGTGCAAAAAGAAATTTAATAAAAAAGAATAAACGAATTAACAAAATAAATGTTTGCCTGGCATAAGAGCAAAATTTGCAGCGATCGAACAATCAACAACTAAGTTCTAACAACAGGCAAAAGAGAAAAATAATCTCGGTCTTAGATTATTTTCCTGTTCGACGAGAACTTTTTTATTTTTTTTTTGTTGTTGTTGTTATTTGTAAATGGCTAGTGGTAGTAGCAGCAGCAGTGATAATAGCAAAGAATCAAGATGGTATTTCACAGTAGAACAATTACAAAATTCACCAAGTCGAAGTCAAGGCATCGACGCCGAAAAGGAAATAGATCTCAGACAACAAGCCGCTTACTTGATTCAAGAAATGGGACAACGGCTTCGAGTGTAATTGTTTTTTTCATTTCTATTTCAATGCATTTGTTTGCCTTTAGCTCAAATTTATAGCATTTTAAAAGCATTTCACATGAATGACTTTGAATATAATTTGATAAAGTATTTTACGATTTTATTCCCCATCAATAATGACACATTGCTCATTACTCATTTGCGCTTTAAGAAATGAAAGAGAAAGGAAAAGTGACTATTAAATAAAATAAGGCGTACGCATTATTCATTCGCAAAACTGAAATAAAAAGCATATAAAAGTATATTCTCGCTTAAATCGTTTCAATCGATTGATGAAACGAAATTACTTGCTCGATTTTTTAATTTAAAAAGTATTTTCGTTCCGAAAATGAATCCCTGTCACTTTAATATTAATAATGTCGTGTAACCAAAATGGCATAGACTTGTTTCTGTCGAATAGATAATCATGTTTTGTCTCGTTAAAAAGTTTCCAGAGATTGGAAATGATGAAAGAAGAAAAAAAAGTATCGTAATATTGTAGTCACATTTTTCGCACACATTTCGAAGCGATCAAATTTGTTACACATATATACACACAAAATAAGTTTTGCCGCCATATTTATTTTGTACGTGGGTATTTCACAAATACTCACAGAACTTCGTAGTCGAATGAAGGTTGAATGTTTAATATGTTTTCGTTGACGACTGTAGAGGGAGAGAGGCGTTCAGTACAACGTAATGGGAAAACATGTAATTTTACGTATATATAGCAGATACGAGCAGAGATTTCATTCAAAAGTCATTGCGTGTGCATGTTTTCAAAACAAATGCCATATTCAATATTTAATTTTTTTTTTCTTTTTATTTAAACAAACCAAATGATCTCGGTATAATTTTATTTAATAAATTTATGCGTTTGATCAAAATGAATGTCACTCATTTTATCTTTCTCTCATTCCATTTCTAACATTTTCAGCAATCAGTTATGTATAAATACGGCTATAGTTTATATGCATAGGTTCTATGCATTTCATTCGTTTACACAATTTCATCAAAATGGAATTGCAATGGCTAGTTTGTTTCTAGCTGCAAAGGTAACACGAATTGTTGTATAAAAATACAAAAACGTGCAAAATGTTTAATTTGAAATAAAAATGCTTTAACTGAAAATAAAACAAGGTGGAAGAGCAACCACGAAAGTTGGAGTCTGTAATACATGTGTCACAAGCATGCATACCAGGAGCAGCTGACAACCAAACCAAGGAATCCTATGCTGAGCAAGCACAAGACTTAGTTTTTAATGAAAATATATTGTTGCAAACATTGGGTTTCGACGTGGCCGTTGATCATCCACACACCCATGTTGTGAAAACATGCCATCTAGTTAAAGGTATTTAGTTACCGCCTTTTTTGTTGTTGTGCTCAAAGTAATGCATTATTTCACATTTATTGATGAAATAAATATTTTTTGTTTGTTGTTTCCTCTGCAGCGTGTAAAGATTTAGCTCAAACCTCTTATTTCCTGGCATCAAATAGTTTACATTTGACAACAATGTGTTTACAGTACAGACCAACGGTAGTTGCATGCTTCTGCATATATCTCGCCTGCAAATGGTCTCGTTGGGAGGTAATTTGTCAAAAGAATTTCTTTTTTAAATAATATTTATCTCATTTTATTATCTATTCATATCACAGATTCCACAATCAACAGAGGGGAAGGATTGGTTTTATTATGTTGATAAAAATGTTACAATGGAACTGCTAGAACAATTAACTGATGAATTTATAGCCATTTATGAAAAAAGTCCCGCAAGACTAAAAAATAAATTGAGTTCAACGATGAAAGATTTAACGACGAGTGCCAGATCTGTAAGTATATATAAACGTACCATAAACGTAACCCAGCTAAATCACCAACACTTTATTATAGGGTGATGTGCATAGTTCAGGATCACAGCATCGATCATCTAGTCATCATAGATCTTCGAGCCATCATCAGGTCAAACATTCAATGCATTCATCCGGTAAGGTTTTCTTTTTCTTCATCATATTAAAAACATGTTGAAGAAAAATGTTGAATATTTTAGGTGACCATAAGTCATCCTCATCTCACCAAAAAATACTTCAACACTCGTCTTCATCAATGTCATCATCGATGAGCACAGCGTCTGGATCAAGTTCAAGTCGGCAACATAGGAATGAAAGGGGTGATCGAAGTGTACCACCTGATCGAATTGATCGACCATTCACATCTGCTGGTGCTCCACAACGATCATCAAGCAGTAACTCAAATGGTCCGATTCCATCCCGAAGTAGCAGCAGTTCGAATAGTATGACAAATATGCCACCATTGCGCCCACAATCGCAGCAACAACAGCATCAGCAAATGCGGCATACTTCAAGTGGTTCATCGTCATCGTCAAAAACTGACCAAAGGCATTTGACCAAGGAACACAAAGCACATCCAGATAAGAGTCAATCCACGAAACATACTCTATCCAAGTCAAATGTGACACAGCAACAGCATTTCAGTGGCTCTAGGTATGTGTACAACTTTTTTTTATACTTGAATTTATGAACCAATCAAAACCAAATTTTCATTTAGAAAAAAAACTACGTAACATTTGTTTAAATTATTTAAAAAAATATAATTCACATAACCATTTGACAAAATCAATTGATTATTTTCAAATAGTAATAACAACAACGGAAGTCACAGCAATAGCAGCAATAATAATACAATCAATCAAGAACAACAAAGGTTATCCGTCCAAAATTCACAACAAAAACCACAACCGACTTTAATAGATATGTCTTCCTATGGACTGATTGATGATATTAACAATATACGTAGCCTGGATACAATGGATTTGCTGAGCACATCACCGCCAAAACAACAAATGACAACGGGCAAAGCACCGTCAATATTTAGTCCCGAATGGAATGAAAAGTCGAGTTCAATGCCAAGCAACAATGGTAGTAGTATGACATCTGGTATAGACCATGGCGCCAATGGTTCGGAAACAATGAGTACGATGCCCATTTTGTGTAGCCCAAAGAAGGAGTATGAAAAGCGTGCACCGTTATCAAACGACATGATAAAGAAGGAAAAACAAATAGAACAACAACAACAATCACACCGATCAGGCATGCAACCGGATAAATTAACAAATGTGAAACGAGAACCAACTTTATTATCAACGGGAATGCAGTATGATGCCAATCTACCTCAAAACCTTCTAGATAGCAAAGCCGTTAAACGCTCATTCAATGCTGAAATGGGATCGGATAGACTAGACAATTCTGAATATCAACAACGAGAAATGAAAATACGAAAATTAGAGCAATTATCACCAATTCAAAATGTATCTGATGTGACGAAAGCAAAGTCATTTAGTTGTTTGAATGGCATTGAGTCAAAATCAATGGATTCGCCAATTTCGGATAAATACGGCAAGATTGGAGAACTGCCCAAGGCAACTGCTAATACTGTATCGATAACTCCAGATTTAGTTAGCTCCCTACTAAAAGAGAGTCTTAGTGAACCCGGAAATAAATATTTACCGTCATTGGATACGTCGCAAAAGAAACATTCATCTTCGGCGACAATGTCATCCACAATTAAAAAGGAACCGAATATTATACCGTCTGCTTATAATATGCCACAGCATCAAATGCAAATGATGGACGCAATGGAACAACAGCATTCAGTAAAAACCGAAGATATGGATCGATCACAAGGTGCAAATCAATTTTTGGGTCAGCATTCACAATATCGCATAGATGCAAAACGCATGCAAGGACCACCGGTGACTACAACAATATCGCGACAACAACAACAACAACAGCAAGTACCACAACAGCAATCGTCTTCATTACAAATGCCATATATGCCATTGAATGACATCGCTCCAAATATGAAAGAACAGCAATTTATTGAACAACAAAAAATGTCTCAACTTCAGCAAGAACAAAGTAATACCCAGAATGTATATGGTGCCCAAACATTGCCACCGCAGCTACAAATTAATAATGACGCCGATCAGCGAATCAAGTCTGAGAAAAAGAAAAAGAAAGAAAAGCATAAAAACAAAGACAAAGAAAAGTCGAAAAATCGAGAAGAGCGAAAAAAACACAAAGAAAAGAGACACAAGGAAAAGCGAGACAAATCACAACCAGAAAGTCATGAATCAAGTCCCAAATCACCGATTCGTTTAAAATTGAATTTATCTCATACTGAAACGTCGAGTGGCCACTCTGTGTACGATACACAAAGCATTCACAACGAACAACAACCAAGTGCATTACAAGAAATCAAATTGAAAATTGCTCGTGATCGAATAAAACCCGATATAGATAGCAGTGGCAGCAATGATACAAGAGCTCAAAATGCACCGTTGGCATCAACACAAACACCTACCTCATTGAAAATAAAAATACCAAAGCATGTTGTTGAAAATTGCAATAGCGGAGTGACAAACATTTACAATAGCCAACAAATGCATTTGAATGAAATGGGCCATCCACAGAGTGGCAACAGCGGCGGTACTAGTAAAAAAAAGGATCGAAATCGTGACAGAGATAAATCGATGCGTAATTCTGGCGGCAACCTATCCAATTCTACAAAGGTATTTAACTCATTTTTCTCTGACCCATAACATACTTAGACATTTTCATGAAACACCAAAACACTGCTTATTTTTTTTTTATTCAATTTGTTTCACATCCATCTGCAAAAAAATCCCATTATTTATGTAAATACTATATCCCAACAACTATATTTGTACCTTTCGATTATTGTATGTGTGTACGTTCCTATAGAACATCAAATAACGGCTACATCGATCCTTCTCAATCCCACTGTTCATTGATATATATTCGATGATATATAAATTCAATTATGTTTTAATATGTTTGCACAAACAATTTAAAGGATTTATTTATTGTTATTATTTTTTGCTTCAACGAACAAAAGAACACTGCGTATATTCAGTTTTAGTGATTATCATTTAGAAAAAAATTGACAAAGCTTCTCCGAGAAGCCTTCTCGAAATGTAAATTAAAGGCCGATACAAATAACAAAAAAATCGGTCATTCACAAAAGCACAAGAACAACATTCAACGTTTGCAACAAAAAAATCTTCCTCAACTAATAACTGTGCTTAGAAGAGAAATCCGCATGTATTTGAAATTGTTTTGTTTATAAATTATGAATTTTTATGTTTGTTTTAATTAAATGGTTTTGTTTCTAAAACAGTGTGTAAGTTCGTAAACAGTTGCTTTTTTATAATCCGTTCGATTTTTTCTTGATTTATTATGTTTCATTCTGTTTGGAAAATGTGTGATCGCATTTTAAAAATAGAGTGAATCAAGCAATAATCAAAAAATTTAACTCAAAATAAATTATTTTATACATAAAACTGTTTTCTGTTTCAGGCTATTTGGGTTAAAATGTGATAAAAACCAATTTGTTAATTAAAACGAACAAGAAAGTCCAACTTATTGAACACTTCGAAAGAATTTTGAGAACATTTTTGCAAAAGAAAAAAAAAAAAAAAAACAAAAAAATTAAAACAAAAATAATATTTGCTTGAGCTCATACAAAATCATAAATTCCGTATAAAATCAAATTGTAATTATATATAAAGAAGCGAATGAACTGACCAAAACAAACATGAGTATATTTATTAATCCATGAATCGATCTGTATAGATAAAATCCATTTGTTCGAATTTATTGAATGTTAAAAATGGACAAAAACAAAAGATATGTGAACAAAATTGCACTTTCGATTTTCAATTTGGTATCCAATTTACATTTGAAGTTGTGATCGTAAATCTAACACACAAAATATACACTTTGCATCGTGATTTAACACTCTACAATCAACTCGCTCCCATATGATTATAATCATTTCGTTTGCCCGATATTTTTTTGCGGTTTCATATACAATTAGACACACACATGCACATAAGTAATCAAACCAATTAAAAACAAAAACTTATACCTACACTGTGACATTATAATCATTCCGGATTTTAACATAATGGCGTTTGTTTCTCACTCAGACAAAACTAAAACAATCACACGAGCAAAAGAAATGTTTTAACGACACGTTCAATGTTTCAGATCTACTCACAATATAATGAACAAATGACGCAACAACAGCAACAACAAATGTTTATGCAACAACAACAACAACAGCAACAACAACAACAACAACAGGTATTATATATTAAATCGTCCTATTCCTTCAGTCCTTTAATTGATATTTTTCGTGTTCATTATAGCAACAATATCAATCCCAGCTACAGATACAAGCGCAACAGCAGCAGCCACAATCGCATACGCAATCACTTTTCCATCTTAATCAGTCCTCAGCCTATGATAATGCTCAAATGTATCAAGCTCCGATGGCAAAACAGCCACAGCAACAGTCTTATAACAGTCAATTCGACAGTTTTCTAGCTAATCAAGGTTTTGGGCAAAACGCATTACCGCAATATCAGCAGCAAGCAAACCATGCTCAGATGCCTCAACAAATGTTTACAAATCCACAACAACACTACTCGTACAAACAGAATTCAAATCAACAAAACGTTCGGAATCAACCGATCAAATACAGAGAAAAATAAGACGAAAAAAAAAGAAAAAATCAAGCAAAAGCAAAATAACTGAAACAAAATGCCGGCATTAGAACATCCAAACAAACAAAACATACCATACGATACCATGCGGTTTTTATTTGTTGAACAGTAAAATGAATCTTGTGTTTGCTTTAGCGATTTGCACCGATTTTATTTAATTGCAATTGTTAAAGCAAAAAACTTGAACTATTCAGCTATTGGGTGGTTTTGTTATGATAAAAAAAATGTATTTTGTAATTTTGCCTTTGAAAGTTGTCTTCACGTCATCACCAAACAAACCCTAGTAGACACATTTTTTGAAGTAAAAAAAAAAAATAAAAATAAAAAAGCAATAAACAAGTAGAAGCGTTTTTTTTTCAAATGAAAGCGGAAAAATATCGAAAGAGCGAACGAATTTTTTTGTTGATCTAATTAAGTTTTTTTTTATATAAATATATATTTAAAAAATGTGAGCAAAAAACAATCATGCAAGCAAAATATAAATATGTAAATAAATTGTAAGTGAAAGTTAGAAAGAGAGTTCAAATTCACACATATATTTGTGTATATTCTCTCTGTATAGTTAGAATATGATAAATAAAGCTAGAACAGAAAAATACATGCTAGCAAAATGAAAATGTTGGAAGAAAAACATATGAAAATTTTTGTTAAAAAAAATTGATCACTAGTTTTAATTGAGTATTAAAAAAAAATACAAACACTCGAAATAAACAACAAACTTGATGATTTGTTTTTTAGTTTTACTTAAACAAGCATAAAAATGAAACCAACCAAAACCTATGTAATATTCACTTTTTAAATCAAGCTACGATTTTTGAGGCATCCATTATGTGGTCACATTTGCTCACTGGCCATCGGAGATTCATTATTTGATGAAAATACTTGCAATCAATATTCTCATTATAATAAATAAATCAAAGACATCAAATTTCATATTTGACTGACATAGAATGCTGATACTATGTTGGTTTGCATATGTATGCCAAGTATTTGCATAGAACTGTGAGTCTCTACTGGCCTTGATTCATTTTCTCATTATTATTTTCAACTTACAGTTGAGCATACGCTGTTTGTGTGTGTGTGTGTGCTCAATATGTAACCAGGAACGAGTATGCTAAGTCCACTGTCAATAAAATAATTAAATATGAAAGTAGAGAAATTGGCGTGGTAAGTTTACTTTTATTTTTAAAAAATATCCTCACATACGATAGCGACAGATATTCAGATGTCATGAGAGCAGGTTATTTCAAATTGTATTCAAAAATAAAAAGCCTTAAAACAACTGTAACGGAATGTTTTTGTTTGCTTTGCGTTTAATTCATTTCTAATTTGAATGAATAGATAGATCTATTGAATGAACAATTTTATAATGTTTTATTTGAATAGATTCTAATTTTATATTTTATTAGTCCTCTCCTGCTGGAATCGCATCTTCCAAACGTCGGATGAATTTGACTCGAATCTCCGTTGTTCCATCACCCTTTAGTTGGTCCTGTTTTTACGTTCAAATTCAAAGTTGCATAAATTTCATGGTAATTTACTATAAATTATCAAAAAGATTTTACTAAAAAAAAATTACCTGAGCAAACCAGCAGTGTACTTCAAGCTGAACCATTTCGAGAGCTCCACGAATGCATCCACATAGTACTCCACTGAATCGTAGCGTACTCATGTCAGCAGGTAATTCAACAAATTCTGTTAACGGATTCGTATCGAATATGAGTGAAAATTCATCGGCCGAAGCCGCCCAATTCGATATTGTTGGCTGAACATTCAAATACATTCTAAATGCTTGTTGAATTTTATCAGCAGTTTCGCGCATATCTAAACATCTTGTTGATGCGGTTCGTGATAAAAAGTCTTCGATCAATCGTATGCCCATATTGTAGCCAATTCGTTCCAGTTGCTTATTTACATCATCGATATTTTCAAAATCACGAATTATTTGCGTTACCAATGCACCATACGTAAGCGTTAATAGTTCCGAATTCTAAAAAAAAATACAACAAAATTTTCAAAATAAGTTTCAACTGATCAATAAAAAGTGATTGAAATCAAAAATTATTCATCCGAAATTAAATTTAAACAATTAACGATTTTATTACTCAAAAAATATTTATTCGACTCGATGCTGATTATTAATTTGCTTTACTGTTTACAAATTTATTTCAACTAAAAGCTGTCTTTTAACACGTTTTAAAAAGAGCACACATAGCTTAAAATTCTTAAAATAGTTTTGGATCAATTTAGTTTAAATATTTTTTTAGTGAAAATATTGATACTATCTCTCCGATTTGATAAATTGAATAGACGCATTGCTCATAATTGGCTGAGGATGAGATGATTGATTTGATGGTTGTGATTGGATTTGGCGTGGTGCGATTGGATTTGATTGAATGGTTTGATGTGGAATTTGAAGTTGATTTGATTCAGGTCCACAGTGTGAATGAAAGCGACCACCTTCGCCACGCACACGATTCATAGCATGTCGATGCCTCGATTCGTGCAAATATTTTGGTCTCTCCTTTGGAATGCGACTCTCAAGTTTGGCACGAGCCTGTCTACGTTTCAATATTCGTTTGTACTGTTTGGCATTTACATACAATGGTTCTTCTTCAGCATCAATATTGACATCGTCAGCTGTTGTGTTTGAATTTGAATTGGCCGTTGTCGTAGCATTACTGTTTAAGAATACTGTATCATTTGTCGTGGCCATATTTGTGTTGCTCAACACATTGGCTGCGCCAGTATTCGTTGGTAGAATGGTGGCTATTCCACCAGTATTATTCGGTGTTGAATTCGTAGTAGCCGCTGTGGCCAACATCATCATTGGCCCTTGCTGACCATTTATTGGTTGTGTTGCTGCCGATGTTGGAGTTGCACCTGGTATTTGTATCAAATTTCCATTGATGTTTATAATTTGTGGCTGAGCCGGTAATGAATCGCCCATCGTTTGCATCGGTTGATAGAGGAATGTCTGACCATCGGGTAACTGCAGTATTTGTGCCATGGGCTGTGCTTGTGCTGCTTGCTGTACGATTGTCTGCAACGATTGTTGGGGAACTGATTGCACCAAAATTGGTTGGCCAGTATTTGAAATTGGCATCGAATTCATCGAAACCACTTGAATTTGTTGTCCATTCGTTCCACTCACTGTATGCTGCTGCTCATTATGTGCAGTACCCGTTTGATGATCCATTTTCTTTATTAAAATGTATCCACTTGTTGATCCAATTTTTAATTGTGTGTCCGTTTTTCTTTTAACCGTCTTCAACGCGTTTTCGTTTAAATAAAATGAATCGACGGGCGTACATTTGATAACTTTGATTTAAAAAAAAAACAACGTATTCACGTTTCACGTATATTGTTCACAGTAAAACTTTGGGAATACAATAAAATGTGCAAATGTATATTTCAATCGCAAGTTTCACATTGGCACCCAGCACCTTTTGCTCTTAGTCTCGATTTTTTTTCGTTAGCCGTAGTACGAATGTAGATCTTATGCTGAATCAGTAGCATTTAATAATTGCAGGGCATCGAGCATTCTATAAAAAAATGAAGGGAAATGCTGTAGACTGCATTAACAACCGAAGTACATGTTTTCATTTTGAAATCAATACAAAAATTGTCTTTTGCATATGAAATCATATCAAATGCATAAATTTGAAAACGTCCTTTTTCAGACAATTTTGGTTTCCTAACTAACAAAAACTAAATAAATAATATTCAGCCCGATAATTGCGGTATTTATACAATTTGAGATTTTTTATAAGTATTATTATTCTATTTGAAAAGCTTACACAATTCAGGCAATTCTATGTTCATCTTATCATTTTTATGCGCAACGTTCTTTTTAGATGAAGTTAAATGTATTAATAAGGCAACGCTTGTATTAATATATCAGTCGGCTCACATATGTACTAATAACAAATATAAATATTACTTACGACTTTCTTTGAATCCAATCGGCTAGTTTGTCTTGACATTATTCTCGAATTTACTTGGATATATGTATAAATAAATAAATCTCTAGTCCTTTAACAGAGCTAAATAATAATAATATGAGTTAGTTTACAATGTTAGCCTTTGCTTCATACCTGAATCGGAATCAAACAATGGCGTTTAATCGAACTACATACATACTATGGCGTATGTCATCAAAATGCAACCATATAGCCACACTTTCCAAAAAAATTACGAATTCCAATGGAATGGATCAACTTCACTCACTTCCAATAATATTTTTTTTGACAACATAATGTGAACACAACCCAATATGTCAAGTTTTCAATTACCACTCAAACGATTCAATTTTTGCTGAAATAAAAAAATAAACAATTCATTTGGAAAGAGATTTGTGCATTTAATTTAAAATTCTGAAGAAGAACATTTTTATACATATTTAGTTGTAGAATTAGAATTTTGAATTTTCGAAATCCAACCGAATCTTTCTGTCATTTTTCGGTTGTCGAAATATATGTGTCAAACCGAATCCAATGATATTTGTTTATATGTATTAAATGAATCCAATGATATTTATTATCAGAGTATTTGCATCGCGTGAGAGTATTGTTAGTATAAACAACTGCCATCACTTTGAAAATACCATCGCACCAACCGATTTTATTTATCATAGAAATTTGTTTTGCTTGCAAACGGATTTCTTGAGAATTAAACGTAGACTGGTTGTAACATGGCTTGGACAATCAAATTGTTTATTATCATTTCAACAACGATTTTGTGTGTTCGGAACGCTGTTCGCTGTGGAAATTAGAATGGATATATTCACAGTTGGTTTTGTGATTGTTTTTGTTTTAATTTCGAAATAACAGAGCGTTGATAAAACTTACGGTGAATATTCCAACAACATTTTAATCTGCAAAATATTTTATGTCAGATTGGAAATAAATTTCATTCTCCTTGTCCTCAGAGCTGTCCAAAAAACTGAAACGAACTAACGGCTAACATTTTTTTTATTCAAGTTCGTTCGTTAAAATGAATATATGTTCTTGCTAACGCTAAATGTGATATGGTTTCTGGAAGTAAAGATGCTCTTTGAGCTGCCAATTATATGTATTCGATTTGATTCCATGGTTGTTGGGAATCGCTGTTCATATCCAAATTTGTTTAGATTGATGGCACGAATAACTGCCGCATCTTTCCTATCTGAACGCAGTTTCAGTGAACTTATCAGAATATGGAGGAAATACTTCAGAATGGGCTAAAGTTACCAACAAAAATTGGCCATCAATTGTTCAGGATGATGATGATGCTGTTTCTCAGACAGTTGTTTGGCATGCTCAAAGGAATGATAAAATTGAAAATGGAGTCTATTTGTAATTGTTTGATGTTTTTGTTTTGTTTTTGCTTCAAACAATGGTAGTACGGAGGGAAGGAGTCCGGAGATGAGTGAAGTTTTTGTGAATAATTTTTCATGTATTTACTCCTGAATTTTATGCTATGGCAACAGAAACTACACATAAATCCGGCGATGGGGGAATTTCCGTTTCAAATTGTCCTTTGGGTAATAAATTTTCCTTGAACCGCATGTCATTTCAATCAAAATTCTATTTTATTTTAAAGAATTAAAAACATCGATAAAATTGAAGAAGAAGAAAATTGACTGTTATCAAAACATGAAAGTTTTCTACAAAAGAGGTCGCTACTATGAAATGTCTCTGCATTTAATGTCATTTGTTTGCATTCTGGTACACTTGCCCAAAACAGATACTTCAAATAGGTGCTTGGCCAATAGAACATTTAATAAAAGATTGTACGTTCAAATCTGTGCAAAAATATCTTCGAATTTAAAATTTCCATTACAATGAATTAGAGAAGAAAAAACAAAGAAATAAATAAGAAAATTGGTTGAATAATATGCAATAAAATAATTTAAGTTCATCGTTTTCGAACTGTTCAAACTGATTTTACGATTTTCGGAAGCTGATTCAATGGACTCGAAGCAAGCTACCAAGCAATAAAAGAAGAATGTTTTGAATAGGTCTCAATTATATTTAAGTGACAGTCTTTATAGCTTTGCGAAAGGAAAACTTTCGATACACCCAAATGGGTGGCTCAGTAAGTCAAGTGTTTCGTTCGGGCAGTGCTCTACTATCAAATCGAGATTGTAAAGTGTCTGAGCACACAATTGACAAAATTAACACCGTTTTCGAAATTCTTCGTGCAAATCCAAAAATATCGATGCAAACATTGGAAGGGCTTCTGATGCAAATAGCCAAAGTGAGTTTAGAATTTCTTGTTGCACTAATTTCATCTTTGTTTTCAATTTTCATTATTCAAACATGACTTCAATAATAAATTTGGTTTTTTGTTATCTTCAAAATAAAAAGTATGAAAATGTATTGGCGATACACGACGAATGTGGATATAATTTACTTCAAAAAAGCGTCGGAATTAACCATATCGAATTGGCAAGATGGCTTTTACAACGGCGTCCTGATGTAAATCGAAGCGCTTGTTCACTTCCGCTTCATATTGCCTGTTTGAAGGGCTATGAGGAATGCGTTGAACTGCTATTGAAACATGGATCGCGTATGGATACTGAAGCTCGCATGTGCTTTCCTGGACCCCACTGCAATAATTGCGAACTAAGTGGTAAATATCGTGGCGTGAATGATGGTGTTACTGTGTGTAGTCCAGTGTCAAATCACAATGAGCGACAAAATACAAAATTACAAAATGCAGTTTGTCATGCGATCGACGGTGATCAAATCGGTGTACTGAATATTTTATCACAAAAAATGGAAGAACCATGGCTGCCATTTAGAGTAAAAAAACCATTGTTGCATTTGGCCTGTGAACGTGGAGCATGGCAAGTATTTGATAATTATAAGATAACAAATAAACTAAAATAATAAACGACGACGTTTACTTTTAGGAAATGTGTACAACAATTGGTTATCACACGAAATGATGAAATTAATCTAATCAAAGACGAATACTATCCCATTCATATGGCAGTTTTGCATGATCAACGTTTTTTGGAGTTACTCATTCAACATGGAGCTATAACAACAGTTCGTACTTGTACACAGCAAATGACTTTGCTGCATGTTGGTATGCATTTGTAATTATTGCAATTGGAAAAGTTTTGAAATCATTGTATGCTCTGATTTATTTTTAGTAATTTTTGTGGCACGAAAATCGGCTGATGACACTTTAAGTACAATACGAATTTTACTTGAACGCGGTTGCAAGGAACTCATCAACGAGCCAGACTCACTTGGGAACACTCCGTTGCACGGTGTACTTGTTCGATATGCTCTGGAAGAAGCACGATACGGATTTCAAAAATGGAATAAATGGGATATTTTGCATTTGGTACGATTCCTTTTGCAAAATGGTGCAAAAGCCAGTATTAACCAAGCCGGTAACAGCGCTTTGGCTTGCGTTTTTCGTCACGTACGGGACTGGGAAGTTTGCTATGAACTACTTAACATGTTAATTAAGGAAGAAGGTAACTATTCATATGTGAACTATACCCAATAAACAATTGTTGGGGCAAATTCATCCATTATCGGGCATATGTTGACGGTCAATTTTGTGGCCGGATTTGTGTGTAGTTTCAGTCATTTTCAACGTCACCAGTGGAAGAAAAAGAAGGAGAAAGAAAAAGTTAGCTAAAATCTATAGAGCCATATTTCTATCGGCGAAAATGGATTTTTTTCGAATGTTATTTAACTGAGCGCCACATCCAAATTAAATTCATTTTTAACATTTGATAAAATAATACTTACCTACAGATAAATCTGTACTGAACTGTGTACAATTACACATTTAGACAATGTGTACTATACACAATCACCAAAGCCACAAAATACAAGCTTTGCTACTAACTACCAGAGTTATTATATTTTTTCTTTTTGATTTCGACGCTGCTTAATCATTGATCTGGAACAACGTTTGCATTGGCTCTTCTGCGTGCTGGTTGTCCTCTACGCAATGGTGGTCTTGGAGGTGCTGGTGCTCTGACATACGAGTTGTGCATTTCCAAATTGAATATGTAACAAAGACCTGTAATTAATAAGAGGCAATTTAATTTATTGGAAAATATATCAAATAAATTACAGTGTTTACCTTTGTACATGATGCATCTAGCCGCAACAATGTCTCGATGCCAAACGGTGCAAAATCGTTTTTGATGTTGCTGTTGTTGTTGTTGTTCCGGATATTTATCAGCGTCGCCTCCCATTTGAATTGCATTCACAGGGTTTAGTAGCCAGTTTTTCAGAAAGTACATTTTCTTTGACTCTAATCGCCCTGGTTGAAATTCTGCTGGTTGATTTGCTGGATCCATGATGCCTCTAGCGATCAATTTCTTCACGCAGCTATCTTTCTTTTTGCGTCGTTGACTCTTCTTCGTCACAATTAGCCGTGGTAGTGAGATATACGGTTCTATTTCTTGTGGTATTGGTGCATCGCGAGTACAGTTACGGCACACTTTGAATCGATATTTTTGTGTTTGAATCGGGAATTTCTTCTGGCAATTCGCACAGTGTTGAGATGTGAAATCTTCATTCACTTTGTGTACATCTGAATGGCCAAGTTTTTTAACGCTGCATTGAAGATGCCGTGTACCTGGGCATCGTTTTCCCTTTTTTATGCCAATTGGTGAATTGGGTGCCATATCCACTGCTCCGATGTTTATAAGCGATGGCTCATTCTTTGTTATTACTTTCGCCAGCCAATCTTTCTCACCTTGTAACCCGATGTATTTGTCAAACGAAAGTCGTGCATAACGTCGCCGAGCATATGCAGCCACTGCATCTTTCACCATGGTTAATCGATGCCTGACGTAATTTCTCCATCGGATTCCTCGCGGTGATGGTATCGATGGATAGCTTTCACGGTCCAATTGCTCTCGTTGCGTGAATCTGGCAGTCATACGCTTTCCCATTTTGTCTCTGACTTTTTGTCCGGCACCCCAATGATATGACTTCGAAGATATCTTGAAATTTTCCTTTAACAAAAAAATTTAAAAATGAGCATTGATTTTTGTAGAAAACATTTTATTTAAATATAAACTCACCTCAGTGCGATCTTCAATATTCCGACGAATTCCGGCTAAGTATGTTTTCATACCGGGATCAATTGCGACGATGTATTTATACTCATTGTTCTCGAGTTTTTGCTTGATTCTTTGTCGATGCAGCTCCGTATTCTCGATCTCAGGCTTTGGTGTTCTGTACAATACCGACGCGGAAACGCTATCGCAGACTATCATATGATGAAACTGTTGGTTCGGTTTCTTGATCTCGTTGATTTTGTCCATGTTGAACAAAATGGCCCATGCTTCATCTTCGTTCTCCTTGTAATAGTTACGGCTATACATATTATGCCCTCCATGATCATTGTTAAATATCTTCGGCACAACTTTCCATTGGGCCAGCAGGCTCATCAAATCATCTTGATCGAATTTAATGTGTTTCAACTTCGAGTCACATATCGGTATGACGGTGAAATTTCTTATTTTTGGTGGCAATGGCTTGGAAGGTTTGCAATAAAAAAGCGGATGGCGTTGGTGTCGTAGCCATAATTGCACAAGATCGTGATGCTCTTCCAAAAATATACTTATTTCACGTTGAATGAAGATGAAAAACCACAACGATTCAAACCACTTTTTCTCGATGTATTCAATCATTGACAAACGTTCGCGAAATGATGGTAAACAGCGTACGGCGACTTGTTCATACAACTCATTCATTTTGTTCGTTCGGTGTTGATCGCCTCCGGTACAATCTTGATTGAACATAAGATTGTTCTTTGCATTTCTTATGTCAATGCCATCAAATTTTATGAGCCGATTACCCTAATCGTAAACCCTTCGTTCAATTTATAGCGAATCATTTGCAAGAAGTTCTCCAATATATTATCTAAATGCGTTGTCAAATTTGTCGTAACATTTGACAAATATTGTTGATTCAAGTATTCAAATGCGTTGCCCATTTGGTACCTACTTGGCCATTCAAATTGATCATCGGCAATCATTTCAAGGAATCCACGTGGTATTTTCGGTTGTTTTGGATTTTCCAAATTTTCTCGTGATACGGCGGCGAAACACTCACGTATAACATTTTTTCCATCACTGTCAATGAAATATTGCCGATCATCGTTATCTGCTGCAAGGTTGACAACATATAAAAACAATGTCGAACCTAGGTAGCATATTACTGTACCATTGTAGCATTTATGGAAAAAATGCTCTGTTAGCGCTTCCGAATATTCAGACTTGAATACCGAAGGCGCTGACAGTTTTATCGATCGCAACTCTTCATTGTCGTTCAATTTTGCCGTATTTTTCTTAAAGGCTGAATTTATTTTTGCACGTCTCCTCTTCATTTTAATGAAAATTAAATCTGTTCAGAAAAAAAACACGAAAAAATTGTCAAATTCGTGACACACAGTCCATTGATCACTTCAAAAAAAAAAATCAAGAAAAATGGTTCGTTTTTGAGTACTTACCAACAACACTGTCACATTCACTGCAAAATGACAAAAAGCGCGTTCGAAAATGTTGTATTCACGATGCAATGGTCGACAATTGGAACACAAGGCTAGCGAGAGAGATTAAATAATTGCATAAATTTAATTAAAACACTTTTTCATTTGAAAAATATATATACAAATATAGAGCGGTCAAAGAGACGCTTACTGCTGTGAAATTCTTTACTAAACTGTGGAATCACCTCAAAAATGCACCCGAATTTATAGGGAATTATTGTTGAATCGACAAAAGTAAACGTTTATTAAAAATGGGCGATGATCAAAATCGAAATGTAAATCACCGTATGAAAATATTATTTGTAAAATAGCATAACAGCACTCTTGGTTTGAAGCACAATCTTGAAAATGAACAGAAACTGTTTTTCAAACGTTTTGATATGATGAAAATGAGATTTTATTTGTGTTGTCGAAGAAAACGATTTATTTAGTCACTTTCATTTCACCATCAGAATATATTGTGTTCTGATTTACAAAACAACTCCTTCTGAAATGTTACGATTGAAACTAATCAACACAATGCACCGTACACATTTGAAGTAACAAGCAAAATGAACGTCGGCGAGAAATGTCAAATTATAAACAAAGAGAGATGTGTGATTTTCGGTTGAAATTTGAATTTTGCTGACACAAGCAAATTAAGAAAAATCTGACTGAATACACAGAGTGATACATAATGTATATGTAGACAGAAATGCATATGAATAATCAATACGTTGTATCAAATGCTGTTATTGCTTACGAAGCATACTGTTAATCAACGAACACACATAGCTATCACACGGAGTCTGTCGAAACGTTTTATGTAAACACAATCGAAAAGAGAAATGTTTATGTATGCGATGCGATTATTGTTTATAAAAATGCTTTAAACTTCAACTCCGACATCAAGTCTCACACCAGTAAATAAAACAAATGGAAATATTCTATTGAAATATATTACTCTTTTGCATACAATTTTCTTTCAAAAATTACCACTAAACTGGGCCAAAACATTACATTTTTCAACGTTAAAATGAATAAAAAAACATTACATTTTTGTTTGTTGGGTATTGCTATTTAGTTGCACTTAAAAAGTAGCATTTGTAGATCACAAACTGAAGCTTATGCTCTAATGAACTTGGACTCATTCTGAAAAATATAATTTAAACAAATTCAATCAAATTAATGCCATGTTTGCAAGTTAGCTTAAAATATTCATTACTCCGATTGAATGTGTGCTTTGTATAGTGTCTGATAACAAACGATGCTTTTAGTTTCATATTGAGAGATATATTTTGATACAAATTGCTGTTTTTCACACGTGTCGCGGACCATGAAGGACTCATTTCCAATAGATAAAAAAGATGGGCTTTTCACGTGTTTTTTCTAGATAAATTACGATTTTCGGTGATTTTTTTCACTTTTTTCAACTCTATTTGACCGTCTTCAACCAGAACGTAGAAAATCTTGACCTTAAGGGGCCTAGGGCTGTAACCTTACTTAAACACCCGATGCATATAATTTTTTACTCCTCAGGAGCTTGATTTTTTTTAAATGAGAATATTGACATCTAATTATGAATCAGATATATACATCTAATCAAAACGTAAATGTAAAATGATCAAAACGGTTAACCAATGCGTGTTTTTGATATTATAATGGTCTTTATACACGGTGCAACTGTGTCGGCTCGTGAATTTTTAAATTGTATTGTCGTACACATTGTTTTGATTTTAATTTGCAACAATGTTTGAATATTTCATCTAAAATTTATAAGTATTACATAAATTAAAATCTAGTCTCTTGATACTACAGGGTGGCCCAGATTAACTATATATTTTATATTTGATTAAGCTCACGATTATAATTTTGAATCTACCTATGTTTCTCGAAAATGTTAAGCGCTGCGGCCGATTTTTTTCCTACACATTAAATCTCCACAATGAATAAGAAAATATAAGTTACTGCAGACATACATTTTGGGAAGAAATTCAATAAATTTCAAGTCAACAAAGTGCAATAAATAATATGCTGTGAATCCAATTTTCTTACCAAAATACATATTCCCAAAAAGTTTAAAGAAATTTCAATGCGTATTGGGGTTCTGTGAATTAAATAGCATGTGCAAAGTTTTACTTATTTTTTGTTCCACCCTAGTGTTAGACTACGATGACCTTATAGAATACAACACAAAAAATACACTTATTCCTATATTAATAATATGTAGATAAATATATTTCTGAACGATCTTTTTGTTTTATTTTCAGGTGATCCAAATATCGTAGGTGAGCGTAAGAATATTTATGAATTGAAATAATGCATTTAAATCAATGGAATATGAATTAAAATATTGATGTAAAAAATGAAATTTCAGGTCGCGATGGAAGTGTTCCTATAATGGTTTGTTTAGTTCCATTAATCAACAAAGATCAGTTACACCATTTCACGCATTCAATGAAGGTAACAATTTGCAAAACATATTTATATCAATGAAATGACAGATCAAAATCGTAAATAAGAAAAAATAATGATCTTGGAATGTTTCAGGTGTGCTATTTGAATTGTATTCGAATATTGTTGCAACATGGTGCCAATCCAAATTGTTCATATCGTTCATATTTGACGCCGTTACATGTTTTAATATTTACCGTTAGCGAAAATTTAACGTTGAATTGTGAAAATCAAAAGCAGAATAATTTCGATTTTATCAAAAATATTTTATTACTTTTGCTGCAACATGGATTAGACTGTAACACATATCAACATATATTACAATCAATAATGGATATGGTACAAAATTTACGTGTCAGTCAAGATATGTTATGTATTTATGAGTTGGCATTGACTCTTATACAATATGGCGCCAATCCGAATATTGTATTAAATGGAAAAGCAACATCGGGCAGTGCAATTGTGACAAATGAAATTGCCAGTTTTGGTGATAGCATTCGTATGACAAACGGTCAACATAACAATGAGTCTAGTAATGCTGGCTATCGCAACAACGGCAATACCGCCAGTAGTAGTTCATTTCGTACACATTCACGCTATATATTATTTTATTACGTCATTTTAATAAGTAAAAAAGAATTTTTGTTAACTGATCCAAAGCAAACGTATGCGAGAATTATATATTTATTTTACTACTCGATGTCACACGAATCTCTTTTCAATTGTTTGAAATGTTTGCATAATTTTTTTGTAGCTCAGATACCAAATCGTTCTACAGAAAACCTAATCGCTCTTATTTCATCATTATATCGAAGACCACGGTCACTCAAGCAAATATGCCGTCAAACAGTGTACACAAGCTTAAATAATAAACTAGCTCAGAACATTAACAAACTCAATTTGCCTGGACCTTTAAAAGAATATGTTCTGAACTTTGAGCCATAACTAGAGTACCTAGAGTAACATTTTGACCCATTTTTGTGGTCAATTTTCTGTTAAATAGAAGCTAGATTATAGTTTCCAATAAAATTTACGTATTCCAATGGAATGGATCCACTTGTTTTACATTCACTTATAATAATATTTCGTTTGACAACATAGTGTGAACACAACCCAATACATTAAGTTTTAAATTGAAAATTTAACGATGCATTTGTTCATTTACGCTCAAATAAAAAAAAAATAAACAACTCATTTGATTTAAAACTCTCCAGAAGAACATTTTTATACGTCATTTATTGCATTCATTTTTCTTTGCCTTATGTGTAGAATTAGAATTTTCAATTCTCGAAATGCAACCGAGTCTTTCTGTCATTTTCGATTAGCGCGCCATTGGAGATGTGTCATTTGGTTTGAAGGGACGAAAAAGATGTCCAAGATCGCGAAAATTTTTGGTGAGCGTCAAGAAACTTGGGCCATTCAGAGGTGAAAATGGAAGAACAGAGCAGCGAAACAAACAACTACGCGCACCGACGACGTGCACCAATGTGTTCTGTGGAAGATGAATGGAGAACATCACAAACATGTTGTGAATTGCCAAGAAAGTGTGCTACGGTTGTAAAGCGAAACCGATTGCTGGACTACCAGACTCAGTCGCTAATCTACCAGATATTATTGTGTCAACGGTTAGCAAACGTGCTTTACAAACAGGACGGGGCACTATAAGGCGTCAAATTCGCAATGGAAATTATCAGGATGTGGAGAAAATACTTCGGAATGGGCGTGTTGAAGTTCAACTTTTGGACGTGAATTTGTGCCTGGTAATGGATGAATTTAGCATTACAAATAGTTCCTTGGAGAGTTTCTTCTCTTTAGAGTACACAAATAAATTCAAATTATTCTAACTGTCGTAGGCTTAACGTTGAATTGAAAAACGAATATAATATAAAATTTCAAATAAATGAAACAATTCATTCCAATCGAATTGTTTGATTGATGTATTAATAGGCAGCTTTGAGGTCGGAATGAAAAAAAATATCACACATGCGAGCATCTAGTATGACTTGTGCTTGAACAGGAACTAAACTTTAAACCAGTTAAATGAAGGAAGTCAAGCTAAAATATAAGTAAGTATATGACAAAAAGTTGTTTTTTTTCTCGATTTCGAAAATCCCGTGGAAGAACTGTAAGAAAATGGCAAAATACATGTAAATCTTGAATTCGTCATCGTAAAATTATATATGTTTTCAATTTTAAATCAATTCATGGTGCATTTTCATTTCATTCCGTATAAATTCAATTTGTGTTTTTGATAAAGAGATGACCCACATTTTTGGTAGCTTTTCACAAAGGAAAAATGACCACAGTGCGGGTTAATTTCGAAATTAATATTTACATTGTAAATTGTAAGTTCATCGACAAGAGAAATTGGAATTTATTTGAATGCTCTAGACCAAAAACGGCTCGCCAATCTACTCAGAATAGTCGCCGATCAAAGCAAAACAATTCGAATACGATACATTGAATGGTTGTTAACACATCGCATGCTGTTTTCATTCTAGAGAATTCATTCCTTTGATTCATAGGTGTCGTGTTAGACAAGCATACGCTACTGGTGTATGTACACTCGCAATTTTGCATTCTACAACCTTGGCTATCGCGCATTTGGTTTTATTCATGCATCAATCTGGATCGTTGCTGTTATATATTAAACAATCACTTGAACTTGAAATCAAACTTGTACAACCAACTGATTAATCGTACTGTGTACTTCAAACGTTTAGAAACAATTCTTTGTTTCAATTTTCCGCTGTGATTCACTTTTGAATCACTTGCTCCCACTCTTGGTTCCATGTATGATTTTTTTCCATGTATTTATTTTTATTTATCTTCCCCGCAGCACAGCTTTAATGTTCAAGCCAAGCGCGCCATTCAATCATTTACCGCAAAAAGCCCAAACTATTATATACATAAAATAAAAAATTCTGTTAACTCTTTATTTGCCTTTTAAAGAAGCATCAATACAACATTCAACTCAATTTGTAATTATCAGTTCAACAGGTTTACAGATCGATCATAAATTTTTGTACATATCACATTGTGACTGATTTGACATCGCGCGCGCTAAGAAAACAGTAAAAAACATAATCTATGTAATTAAAGAATTCATTTTGTTCATCGGTGAAGTTTTCATCAAAGATAATAACAAATGGTATAAAAACAACAAAATGGCAGTATTTTTTTACAAATAAATAGAATACAAATGTAGTGTTTATAATAAAAGTCAATTAATTAGTCAGGTAAATGTTCACGTGAGTGATAAAAAAAAGAAGGAGAACATAACGAAAAGTCCAAAGCAATTAAAATTTAAATAAATAAATTAGTGCAAAAATGGCACCAACACCAGAAACATTTGGACCAATTGTTCCGTCACCAAATGACGATGAAACTACATCAAATAATCAGTATACAAACAGAGCATTTATTAAGGATGATACGATCGATAGTACCTCTTCAACCCCAACAGAGACAGTGGATGATTTAATGAAACGTTCCAATATCGAAAACGATTCGGAAAATTTGGATTTTGATGATATTCTACCACACATTGGCGAATTTGGTACATATCAAAAAATCCTTTTCTTTCTAATGATACCGTTTGCATTTTTCGTTGCATTTGTGTACTTTTCACAAATATTCATCACGCTCGTACCGGAGAAGCATTGGTGTCTAATCTATGAACTAAAACATTTGCCTATCGAACAACGGTAAGTTTATGATATTGACAGCATAAATTGATTACCGCTGCATGTCCTATCTTAAAAAAAAAAAAACTATAATAAGCGGTTGGTCAAGGCAATGCGCATAAGATCCCTTGCAATTATAAATGAATTTATGCACAACTTTGACACCAAACGCACATTACGGCTACTAAATGGTCGTACGGTGTATAAAGAAATACATACAATGTAATTGATAAAAAATGTGGTCAGATTAATTGGTACTTCGGACAGTCAGCAGAACGTGGTACATCACATTTCAGAGTTTATGGAAAAAACAAATATCGGTTAACATTACTGGTAAAATCTTACTGAGCTTCGTCTCATTTTTCAAACCAACCATAATCGGTTACATGTACATTTTTGCGCGTTTCTAAATGAGTAATTAGTTGTGTTTTTCTTCTATATATTTTTTTATTTCAATTTTTTCATTCATTTTTTTTTGTGTCTGCGAGCAACCTCAATTCAAATGGTAATTTAGTATTACACCATGAGCCGGTTATTCACAATAACAAAAGTGTGCTTGCACTCGAAATTAGCACTACTATCAACGAATCACAAACGGAAAGAGAATACACATTTTTCGCTAGACAATATTGTGCATTTTATTACAAAGTACGTATAATTATTTGTACTCATACAAAAAACACTTCAATAGAAAGACGTACAGAGCATTTGGTGTCCATCCCAATTAAAAATGTGTTTTGCACACATTTAATGTACTTTAAATGCATAAGTTTTTGCATCATCCATCGTGATGTAGAATTTTCGTCATCGGCTGTTTTTAATTCGTATTTTTTTTAAGCTATAAAATTATATGCACTTGATCATTATCTGTCTAATGATTTCTCGACAATGAATGATAATGATTTCTTAGTACATTAGTACGTAAAACAAACATTTCTGCACGCAATTTCGCACAGGTTTTTTTAAGAATAAATTGCGTGTCGATGAATAAGCCGACGGTGTGTAATAACTTACCGCGTATTCTTACTGTGTCGAATAGTACATTAACATCATTGCATTGTTTGACCATACAAATCCTATTGGCCGATTCAAATAATTTTGATAGATAAATAAAAAAATATTGAAGTTTGCTATGAGACTCATCGAGTTGATGACCCGTGTATGAATATAGTTTTATAGTGACCGAGAGTCTGACTCAAACATGGTGTTTAATTATATTCACCTTGTAACGGTCCCAAGTATATGACCTTTATTACCTTTATTGTATCACCAAAAACTTTAAGATCGATGACTCTTCCAAACACACTACCGTCAAAGCAGAACCTTGATCTCTAACGGAAATAAAAATAGAATATCCACGTGAGACATAATCGATGAACTTTGAATTTTTTGATTTTACTCTTTTTGCAACGTATTTTGTGAGACAGCATACTAAACCACTTACAGAAAACTCAATAAAAAAAATAAATAATTGAAAGGGTACGAAAGTCTCAAATCATTTTCAGCTCAAGAAGCAGAACCAAAACTTCATTAAATTTAAATTGATGACGTTAATTCCGTATCTATCTGCTTTGTTAATGACAAAATTATATCGAAACGGTATTAAATGTTCAATTTGATTTGTATGTGTATGTTTTTGTTTATTCATATGGTGTTGAATCAAGAATTTGAAACGTGTTTTTTGGGATTTTTGCACTTATATTTTGCGATGAACTTTATGTAAAAGTTATAACACTTATTTTTGGAATTAAATCTGCTCGTGCCGACTTGTTTAAATTTATTTTTTAATTTATTTTTCTAACATGAAGGCTACTACTAGGAATTCCTTCAGATCAAAATAGTATTAATGGCTATAGTAAATGTTCTATGTATGCGGTGAATTTCACGCAAATGTTAATTGATGGCGTAACGAAAGCCGATCCCAACTGGCCGATTGTACAATGTCAACATGGTTGGGAATTTGATAACGAAGAGTTACCGTACTCAACTATTTCTACTGAAGTGAATATATTTCTTTCTTCTTTTTTTGGTTAATTTTGGTTAAAAAAATAACAGCTTTGTTTTTAACAGCTTGAATGGGTGTGTGACAAAGCAGCACTACCTTCTTTAGCTCAGTCGATATTTTTCTGCGGTGCCATTGTGGGAGGTCTTTTATTTGGTATTATTGCTGATCGATATGGTCGAATTCCAGCATTGGTGGGAACCAATATGCTTGGATTCATTGGTGGGATTGCTTCAGCCTATTCATTCAATTTTATATCATTTGCTTTCTTTCGATTTATTGTTGGATTTGCCTTTGATAATTGTTTCACAATGATGTATATTTTGGGTAAGAATTGAAATTTTTTTATTTTTAAATAAATATTCAAACATTTCAAAAGAAATCAATGCGTATGATGTATTGTATTGTTTTGCAGTACTTGAATATGTTGGTCCAAAGTGGCGGACGTTCGTTGCAAATATGTCGATAGCGATTTTCTTTACGATTGCCTCATGCATGTTACCTTGGATTGCAATATATCTAAAAAATTGGCAATTATTAACATTAGTCACATCAGCTCCATTGTGTTTATCGTTATTTACACCTTGGCTCGTTCCTGAATCGGCTAGATGGCTGGTATCACAGGGTAAAATTGGAAAAGCCGTTAAAATACTACGTAAATTTCAGAAAATCAATCGCACCGAAGTAAAACCAGAAATTTATGAAAAATTCGAAAAGAGTTGTACACAATTACATAAGGAAGAAGCAGCCAATAGTACATATTCGACGATTGATTTGTTTAAAACACCACGCCTAAGAAAAATCACTTTACTTTTCATCGTTATTTGGATGGCAATTTCACTTGCTTTTGATGGGCATGTACGAAATGTGGGTGCCTTGGGCTTAGATGTCTTTATCACATTCACTATTGCAGGCGCCACTGAAATGCCAGCAGATATTCTTTTAACATTTACGTTAGATATTGTGGGCAGACGTTGGTAATTTATTCAAGAGATAAAATACCATGCGTATATTTAGTGTTTAATTTAATTTATTTTTTAGGTATGCATTTGGATCAATGGTTTTGAGTGGAGTTTTCAGTTTAATGTCCACACTGTTTCCAGTTGGCATCTACTCAGCATTGATGGCAATCATTGGTCGATTTTGGATTAATATCTCATATAATATTGGCTTACAATATGTGGCTGAAGTGTTGGTAAAGTAATTGTGACTTAATGCGTTATCACTAGATTCGATTATTATCGAGATTATATTGAAGCAAATTTATTTTAGCCAACGGTTGTGCGCGCCCAAGGAGTAACATTTATTCATATTATGGGTTACGTTTCAAGTATTATTGCTCCGTTTGTCGTTTATTTGAGCTACATTCACCTCACATTGCCACTGATCATTTTGGGTATAATTGGTATTTTGGGTGGCATATTGTGTCTGTTTCTTCCAGAAACCTTAGATGAAGAATTACCACAAACGCTCGAAGACGGCGAACGATTCGGAATGAATCAACAATTTTGGGATATTCCATGTTTTAAAAGGTGAGTTGTTTTCATGGTTTTTTGGGTTTCTGACTCCGGAGCAAATTATCTGAATTCCGATAAATATTTGATTTTTTTTAAATAACGAACGTTGTTCATATAAATATGCATATACACATTGGATGCCGAAACAACCTCTATCCCAAACAAAATTCTTTTTACAACCCCCCAGATTTCACACCGACAAAACCTCTAGTTATACATTAGTGGAATAAACCAAAAAATTGATTTTTTTTACAGAAAATTAAATGATGACGAAAAAACGCAAAACTTTGAACGGCCCACATCAAAAATGACGTCCATTGGTGCATCTCTACGTGCTTCGTCTCGCGCTGAAATCGGCTCAAATTTACTCCATCGATCAATCAGTATAAGACGATCAACAAAAGCCACTCAAACATAATGGTCTCTCGAATAACCTTTTTTGGTTGAAATATTCTGAATATTTGTTTTTCAATTCAATTCACTTTTTAATACAAAATACTATGCCAACAATGAAACATTCTATCACCTCTTGAAGGCTTTATTTAAAACTATTAAATTGTTTTATCATAATGATTTAGTGCCATTACGAATACAATAAGAAATCACAAGAAAACCACTTAATAGGTCAAGTTTCGTAACCATTTCACTCGTTTTATGGTTATTTTTTATTCTGTTTTATTAGTTTAAAAAATTAAACAAGAATTTGCTTAGAGTATGTAGATGAAAGCCAGAAATATCGAAATGCGTGACCTGCGTCTAACGTCTCTTTCGTCCACCAAATCGCTTCTTTGGATCCCGTTCACCTGCACCTGCTTTGGGCTTCTTTCCGCCCGACTTTTGGAATTTGCCTTTTCCTTTGCTTTTTTTACTTTTCTTTGTTACCGTATCGCCGTTTGCCTCTCGTCTACAGCAATAAATATGAAAATATATTAATTATTAAGAATTAAAAATGCCAATTGGGCTGAGCACAAAACATTATGCTTACTCTTGTCGTTCTTCTCGTTTTTGCACCGAAAACGCTTTGTCGTCGTCAATTTTTGATTTTTTGCTCAAAACACTCTTGATTAATTCCAAATTAGCAATTTTTTCATCACCGTTTGTAATGTGTGATGCCTTGCGTTTGGCACCTGGTATCAATTCTTTCACTCCAATTCCACGAGCTGTCTTTTCTTTTGGTAATTTGCCTTGGAATTTACCCATTGATGCTGTAGAAGCTTTAGCTATTGTTGATGCAACTTGAAGCTAATTAACAAAAAATAATAATTAATATTATGCATTAATTACGTGCATGATAACATAAATAATCGTGTAATTACGGTTGAAATTCGTATTAATTAATTTAAATCAATTTAGTGCATGAAAGAGCAATTTCAATCGTTCTCATATTGTTTTCATTTCATTGTGTTCTTAGAACATCAATTTAATATCTAGTTCATAACATACATCTGAGGCTGTTGCTGTATCTGGTCCTAAATATCCAGATCGCGGTATGGCACCTTTTTTTGCTTTCACAATATTTCTCATGCGTTGAATTTCATTTTTTGCTACTTTTTCCGCTTTAATATTGGCTTTTTTTGCAAATTGATCTTCCATAGGATCAGCATTTTGTGGCACTTCAAGTACCCAATCTCTTTCCCGTTCAGCTTGTGATCGTTTGAATCCATATGTTGGAACCCATTTCTGAAAATTTAATCACATTTTGTTGAATATTCAAATATATTTCGAAACAAACGTTAATAATACATACATCAAGGTCTTGATCGAACACTTTCTTATCTTTCTTCGTTTTCTTAATGCCTTTTTCTAATGCAAACTGTTCCCATTTTGTGAGTGGTCTTTGCACCGGACACTTTTTCGATCTTGGCAATACAAATGATGGTGCTGGTAATTTTGCAACAATACACTCTTCAACACGTTCAGTTGGCTGTTCCCACAATTCGTTGACTATCAATTGAACATTTTCACGTGTCAATTCAGCCAAATACTGTTCTTTGTCTTTTCTGTAATTTGAATAAAGCAAACATTACTACCCATCAAAATATTGTTGGTTAAATAATAAATTTGAGTTTAAGTCACTATTATACTTGAGTTGTTTTTCATCTAGATCATTGAGATCGGAGCATAGAAGATATCCCAAATCAACTTTAGCTTCCAAATGTTTGTTCACTTCAATGGATTTATATTTTTCGGCTTCTCGTTGTTCTTCTTCCAAAACACGCTTAACGATATCCATTTTTACTATATAAATCTAGTATTTAATATTCAAATGAATAAAAACTGTAAAACGATGTGAACACACTGGTTGTGTGGACCGACATCAAAATACTCTGAGACTCAAACACACGTGCTCTATTGACAGTTTATTGTCACATGTGTCAAACGGTTGTCAAACTGATTATTCCCATTGATCACACATTTAAGACCTGTATTTTGTGCACACATCTAGATAATAATCATAGCTGAATCGTTTGAAACATTTTTTTTTGATTAAATACACGGACAATTTGAATGTCCATTGAAGATTAAATAAAATAAAAATTCAATTAAAAGCTTAATGTTTAAACATTTAAATCAGGCAATACTTTTTATCTTTTTTTAAATTTGAATAAATTTTATTTAAAGTTCAAACGGAGTCCAGGTTATTGAAATTCGGTGTTTTATTTTGTGCTTTCAATATCTTTATTTATCTTTGAAATGAGGCATTAACAAAATGTTATAATTCATATGTGAAATGTTACGTATTACAATCGGGCAATACTTACGTCTTCGTAATATTTTCTTGTCTGACCATATTTCATACCAACATTCAATATGCTAAAGAAAGTGTTTCTAGACGGCCATTTTGATAGAAAAATTTCTTTCTAAAACAACAAGCTAAAAACTGAACAAAAAATCACATAAAATCTCCCAAAATTTTGCAATAAATAGGTAGATATATATTTAGTTATAATATCAGTTTATCAATTCAAAAGATTTTATTTCAAGTAAATTTGATTTCCTTTGTGGTTGAAGTGTAGAAAATAACAACAAAAAACATGAAATGAAAGTGTATTAGCTCTTTTAATATGCAAATAATAAATTGTCGTAAAATGTTATTTTAAATTTGAAACAAAAAAAGTACGAAAAGATACCAGTGCATTGTGTTTACTTCGTTTTTCTTACAAAGAAATGTAAAATACCATAAATTCCACTTTATGCGATTAAAAAAATGACGAATGACTTGACGTCTAATGGTTTTTTTTAGTAATACGCATAGCTTCCCATCATATCTCTAATTTCAATAAAAAACGAAATATTTTTTTTGTAGATCGGTTTATTTTTACCGCTATTATAAACGAAAAAAGTTATAAACGGAAAAATATTATTTATTCATTCAATATTTTTTGGGTGGTAATTTCATTTTTTCTCTGTAAAAGCCGATTAATTAACCAAATAAAAATGTGTTTAACTAATATCATTGTCAATGATTCAAATAAAAGGGCATATTTTCCATCTGATTAAAAATCATACTCTAATGGCTTGAAAGTGATTTACTTTTATTCTAATCAGAATATTTATTATGGCTACAGTTGTTTTGTGAGTAATTGATTTTGATTCTTGTTGTATTTCATTCTTTTAAGGTTAACACCATACGTATTGCAGTGGATATTGTAATCAAGTCATATAATTTGTGGACAGTGGAGAGCAACGGAAATATCTATTGTTTATTTGTTCAAAATCTCAGGATTGAAATCAATTCAAAATGGCGTGTGCAACATTGAAAAGAAGTTTGGATTGGGAGTCATTGAATCAACGCCCCACAAAACGTCGTCGTTGTAATCCATTTACCACTACTAGTGGAACAGCACAAATTTCGAATGCTCAAGCAACTAGTGCAAAAGTGACAGAACCAACACAGTCAGCGTTTGCTGACACAACACTTACGAAACTGACACCAGGTATATACAAATATGCTTTAATCAATTATTATTTCTTTGTTATTTATATGTAACGAATAACGTGTTTATTTGAATTGTTTAGAAAAAATGGCGCAAAATATCCGCGAAGAAATCACTCGTTTGCATCGACGAAAACAACTAAATTTTACCTATCACAATGTTGAGAGAATGCAAGACTCCGAATCTAGTGGTTCTGAAATGGGGCCGGATAGTCCACGGCGTCCAGACACACCACCAAATCTCCGAAATCCGGAAAAGGGTCTCTTCACATTTAAGCAGGTAATCAAACTATTTTCACGAATCACACACTAAATATGATATTTAATTTATTTTTTGTTTGTTAGGTACAAATGATATGCGAAAGTATGCTAAAGGAACGAGAGGATTCATTGCGTGAACAATACGACGCTGTTCTTACCACAAAATTAGCCGAGCAATATGATGCGTTTGTGAAATTCACATACGATCAGATACAAAGACGTTTTGAGGCAGCTCCCAGCTGTGAGTACACAACATAGCCCATCAAATTAATTCATTACTTTTTACATTTGCATATTTTACTTCAATTATGTTTTCTTTCATCATTTCAGATCTGTCTTAATGCGTAATTCCTCGCCAATTTTCTCTTTCGAGTGTGTGAATGTGTGCTATCGAAACGCGTAAATAAATATGAAACAATATGCTTGAAAAATCGTAAAAACTTAAATCTAAAATCATAATTTCGAGAAATAAAAAGACAAATAACACTGAATAATTGAATAGATTCAGAGATCATACGAGATATTTAGAGAACTTTGTGTTTATATGTGTAAACAAAACATGAACATTTTCAGAACGATTAACAACTACAATCTCTGTTCTCGCGCAACAAGACCATATATTTTCTGTTGATCAAAATCTGAACATTATGGGTTAAAAAAAAAAAACATGCAAAACAAAAACACACTCGCCAATGTGTGCCAGCATTATTGCAATTGCGATCTCCATCAAACCAGGTGGAACGCATTGAAAGGATTAAAATAATTAATAAGAATTTGCAAACCAAATTATGCAAAACAACAACAACAACATTTAGTGGTTAAGACAAAAGAAGCATAAACTGAAATCCCGTTTTTATATAATCATTTCGTTTTTCGATAAATTTCAGTGAAAAAAGACTCTGAAGTTTAGGATTATCATGCAAATTTAAACTGCTACAAATTGAGCATTTCAATAATATAAAAAGCGAGAATAATAGAAATTAAAACGAACTATATTATTAAAAATAACAAAAAGGAACTTATTGCATATGAAGAAAAATTCTAATACTGAACGTTAAACAGCGAATTAATTTTGATAGTTTTTGTTCGAATATATTCTTGATATTTTATTATTAAATTCCATAAAAATACGATTTGCAAACCGTTTTCGTAAAGTAAAATTCATTTGCGTCGATCGTAATCATTTCAAGCAATCAACTTACAGATATTTTTTTTTCAATTCGGCGTTGTTATTTTCAAAAAAAGAAAAAAACGTGTAACCTCGTTTAGTTTTTTTTCTTTATATGTTTTCCAAATTTTGGTTTTATACTAGAAGTTAGGTATGGTAAAAAAAAACATGGAATTCGTTAGATATATTTTGTTTTAAGCAAAGAATTTCTTTTGAATCGAAATAAAAAACATGATTTCATACAATCCACAATTACATAATATCATATATCGGTTTAGTTAACCGCTTCAAGTAACGAACATCAAATATTATTAAAAACGAATTCAAATTATGTAAAAAAAAAACAAATTAACCAACAAAAAAATTGTACGAAAATCCTTAAAGATCGAACCATTATCAAAAGATATAAAGTGTACATAATGTAATCATTATGGAGTGAAACAGAAAATTTAATTTTTTGTATTTTATTTACTTTTTTTTTATTTTTTTATTGGACTATGTAGTTTTGCGAATTTTTGGGCACATTCGCCCGTCACATATACAACCATTTCATTTCACAGCATTACAATGTGAACTCGAATAATGTACAATGGAATACGCTCCGCTTGATCACGGTTAAGAAATTTATCATCTTTAACATATGATGGTGAAATTCCGATTTCTTTCTGCGCAAGTTTTTTCAAAACAAAACAGAAACTTCATCAACTGTCACAATTCTGGAAACAAAGCACGCTTTTTAATGTAAACAAAAACATTTGCTTCATTTTGACACATTATCCAATCAAAAAATTTGAAATTTGCTATTATTTTTCCACTAAATTCGTGATGTATAAATTATATCAAATAAAAAAACCTCTATCGAGGTGAAGAACGAGTGACGAAACCAAAATTTGAAACACAAAATTCAATCAATTTCGTGACTGACTATTTTCGTCACAAAAGTTGGTAGATATTTGTTCTGTGTACTGTTAAAGTCTAGTTGCCACAGCGACCATATGAAAATATTTCCATTTTTTGCCACATTTGCACAATTGAAAACCAAAACAAGAATTTTCTGGGATATAAGCTATGCGGCGTTTTATAGCTTAGATTTAGGCCTAAAGTCGGTGAAATTTTCAATGCACCAAGTTAGGCTCGTTTTCGAGATAATGTCCGGCCGAATGGTAAGTTTTTGGTTTTTAGCCAATTTGGCACCATTCGATAGCTCATTACAAGACCTTTCCAACGATATGCATATGTCCGGGGTGTGTTACATGGAGGCACCTCGGTGACCGTAGGGACCAAAGTCAAAGATTGACTTTTGGAGGCCAAAAGTGCCGGAACAAAAAAGTCTTAGTTTTTTATGTACCTTAATCCCAGAAAGTATCAAAAAGATCAGAATCGAGTACAAAATATGTATTGACCACAGACAGACAGACATTTTGATATTTCATGAAGATTCATAAGAAATTTTTAAAATGCTGAGTTTTTCGAACGGGTTATTCGATTTCGACGTTTAAGGTATCGTTGGAAAGGTATTGATCTCTAGATTCAGAATATCGACTTTTCAGATACGACCTAATTTAGTGCCATATACTGCATTTTGACCCTTCTAACTGAATTTTGACCCTTTTGGCCTTCTAGGTTAGGATTTGGAAATTATTTGGACATTACGTGTATTTATATAGCAAGTCGACTTTTCAACACACAAATGTGGTTTCTATTTAATCAGATTTGAAATACAAGCTTAAAACTGCGCATTCCGAAAGTATTATTGGATCTTTATTGGAAACAATGCATATGATCTATGTCCAATTTGACACGGAAATAGCTCAATTAAATACATTTTTCAATAGGACATATTTTATATGGAAATGTTGTGCTTTCAAATTTACTATGTCAAGCCTGACTAATTTAAAAAATATATATTTTTGTGTTGCGAGTGATAAGAACGAAAAAAATAGAGAGTTTTGAATGATGAGAGATTTAATTTAACACTTTTCACATTGATAAGCGTTTCCTACGCAAATTTCCATTTTTTTTCAAATTTCGTTAACTGCTGCTTCCAGTTCACGTTCGCGATTTTTGCTACGACTACGACTACGGAATCTTTTGCGATACCACTTTTTCTTTTTGGATGCATTCTCCACTCCTGCACTGCTATCTGATTCGGCCGCTGAAAGTTTGTATGTACTGCTAGGAGAGAGTAGTTTTTTAAACCATTTTGCTAGAGAAGAATCACAAAAAAAAAAAAACAATAAAAATAATGTATGGACATTATTCCATAGTTGAAGAGTACCTTTTGTCTTTTTGTGCTTTGTTGGTGTTGGAGACGACATTGAATTATTCAATGATAGAGAGCTATGGCAACGTTCATTTTCCTTATCAAATATATTATCTCCAACACGCAGTGTCCACATTGATGACGAAATTGACGACTGTGAACCAATTTTTTTCGGTAAATTATTCCACAATTTTTTCAGGCTTGTCGGTGTATTGGGCGATGATGACTTTGATTTAATTTTTTTTGTGTCGGAATTATTATAGCTTTGAAATGTTGCCTGCTGCGATTGCGGCTGAGACTGAATAGACGGAACTGAGGGGCTGTCGATTTCGGTAATGGTAATTCTAGAAAAACATACAACAATTAATAATCGCTTTCAGAAAAATGAAGAAATATTTACCTTGGCATTGGACTAGACATTCGATTAAATGGAACATGTATGGATTCGTACAACTTATTCCAAAAATTGAAATATGGCGTTTCATCACGATACCTAATCAGAAAAATTACAAAAATTTATAGATATAAATTCAAATTCGTTGATTTACTCTTTGAATAATTGAAAAGTAAATTTTACCTCAATGTGAAATACATTGCAAGTGACGCTGGCAAATCACACTTTTCGTTCATACATGGAATAATTTTACGTTTGCGTTGCTCAATGCCAAGTGCTTGAGCAAACTTGACAAAAAATGTATTGGCCAAACTATGGAAAAATGCGTTTGAAAAAATGACAATCAACCGATCACAACGCTCTGATATCATCTTCATTATGGCGTCATTCTCGAATGTTCCACCGATTAAATCGCGCTCCTTCAAACACAGCTATATGGCATATAAAAAGAAATATTTTGATTAAATGAAACAAATATTTTCAACCTCAAACGATTACCTTTAATTTATATTCGGTTTCCATTCTATCTATTATTTGGGTTGCGAAATCTATATCATGATCAGAGTCAAACAATAAATAGGCATCATATCGTTGAGGTGGTAGGCCCATTTTTGCTCTGGCTATATCGTCATGTGTTAATAATTCTGATTCATCAAATAATGTCCTTTCTTTATATTCTGACGATTGGTTGGCGAATCCTTCACTTTCTCCAGGCTTGGATAACGCTTTCAAATAAATTTTAGCATCTTCAACTGCAAAAATATTTATGGAAAATTATTCCTTTTAATGATTATTGCAAATAATAATTATTACCAAAATATTCACGAGTATCATCCAAAACATCCCATCGATCAATTTTTTCCAGAATTTTTTGTAATGTTCCTATTTTGGCTGTGTCTTTTCGAGTATTTATCCACAGCTCGAGTACTTCTTTCATTTCGTCTGGTTTTTGTTGCACTGTATTAACCACGTCACTTAAACCAATGCTATTTAAAACTCCTCGCCAATCCCCTACAAATGGATCGGTGCGTTAATACATTTTTCTATGATGCTTTGTTGTTTACTCACGTGGAATACCATCCTCCGATAAAATTACTTTGATCGAATTCAACCGTTTTGATAATAAATCACGACTTTTTGTCCGTAATGCTGATAGGGGAATTTCTTCGAAATCTCTTTCACTATCGTTTGATAAACACAAAAAATTTCCATTTATTTGATCATTTTGGCTGCAATATTCAATGGTTCTGCTATCTTCTTCCAGAGGGAAATTGTTATTTTGCTCGTCTTGATATAGAGTTAATAGTTGAACATTGTTATTAAAAGCTTCATCATTGATTGTTATCGTTGGTGGAACATTCTCAACATAATTCTTCGAATCGATCATAATAATTTCGTGCAATGTACTATTTGCTTTATATGAAGAAGTTAGAGTCAAGTTATTCGAAAATATGTGACCAGATATAACTGCACATAATACTTGTTTGACCAAAAATAAACAAAATTAACCGTTGAATCTGAAACGCATTATGACAAAAAGATATAAGAAAAAATATTCTTTGACTATAACTTATATTGCTATTTATATTTTCACATGTTCACAACAACTGCGGAGATCTAAGAGCATCGTGGAATTATTGTGAAATGATCAGACATTATATTGTGATATTTTCAGCCATCTGAATCAGCTTAGGCTGCTAATGTCAGGCGCTGAAATGATTTGAAAACAATAAAACCGATTGTATTTTTATACCTATTGCAGTCACTCAATATTCGACGCCTGAGATGATTCGGTTGGCTGAAAGTATTTCAATACAATGTCTAGAAAATACTCTATTTTATCTCTTCTCCGTGTATCAATAATGTTCGTATTAAGTAAGTACACGTCCAGTTAAATGTCGATTGTTTTTAATCATTTAACTCGAAATAACAAAACATGCCGAAGCAAAATAACGAGAAAAAATAGATAAAGAAGGTTTTGTTGACAATGAAGGAAAGAAGCAACAACAATAAGCAGCAAAAAAATGTCGGCGATGTGCAACAAACTGCGAACAACATATACACAAAACACTATATCTCACTTTTTTTAATTCTCATTGATTTTGAAGAAAATTTAAATACAGCGTATGTCTCGGTATGTCTGTATTTGTTACGTAAGCACCTAAAAACTGTCCATATAAAGAAAAAACTTCCTTCCAATTTCAAATACAGATAACAATTTATTCTGTTAATTCTCTTTAATTGAAGGTTACAACTTAATACTGTCTGCAGTTCGGTTCCTGCTCTTGTTCAAATGACTTTTTGTCATTTCGCAAGTTTCTAATTGAAATTGATTGCTTTTATTATTTACTATTTATTCAATGCTTTATTTTCAACTCTGAAATGAATTTAATACATAATAGACATCACACTGAATCGATCTAACCATGTTATATGTATTGTGTTTTTATGTATATTTTTGTTTTTTGTTTTTTCTATTATCAGTTTTATAAGAAGTGAACAGATCTTTGGCTGCCGAAATTCGATTCACCTTCAAATGATATACGTACGAATTCAAATCAATAAAACAAAGAAAAAACAAAGAAAAAGAAATTGTGGCTGATCGACACCACAAGCGATAAAAAATTATTTATTAAGTGAAATTTTATAGATAATAAAAAAAAAAATTAATGTACAGTCAAAGCCAGCTGTATATTAATAACACACACACACACACTTGTTGTTCTTATATGTCAAGTCAAGTAGAAATTACGTATTTCTAGATGACAATACTAATATAACATGTTTTCGTTTCGTAGTGCCTCTCTTCTTTTCTGTAAAAGAATTTCGATTTGAAAGTGTCCACACTCCAATTTAAACATTGCTATAAAAAATATTTCCGTTTAGTTCGTAAATGAATATAAATCTCATCTAAATGATCCATGTTTTTTATTTGTCGATATGTAAATTATGTGAATAAATTTACGGCACGGCTAAAGTTTTGTACATTACGTTAGGGTGTTTCTCAAATTTGTAAATAAAAAAATGGACATCGTGGATTAGAAGAGCGAAAAATTCTGTGTCATTTAATTGTATTTACATTGCATAGTGACTGATATTCAGACTTCCTTGCATATTGCATTGAAAGTGAATAATCAATACTTGCTCTTCCAAACTTCATCCGACAAAACCTGGTTCAGTAAATCCGATTTAGTAAATCGTAACCAGCTACAAGTAATAATTATTACATTAACTTTTTAGTCTAACATTTCAATCCTATTTCTATTGGTTTAGATTATTGGAATCCATATTGGATATGCAATTCGTTCAACGGTCAAGTTGGGATGGAGATCACATCCAAACAGTTCACAATGTCCTGCAAAAAGAAGTGTGTAAGTCTTCTGTAAAATCCATGACATTTTCGTCACGAATATTGTCTGGGAGCTGAACAACGTTGTAATCCGTATCGTATACTGTGTTTTGTCACCAGTTTTTTCGAAAACATTTCATCTTAGACACAAAACCAACAGCTTGATTTGGATAGCAGCTCTCGCTTGCTCGTCGGTAGCTTCAATCTGTCTGGCCAATCATCGTCATCTGGCATACACCATTCACACACCTTGAAACGATGGCTTAAGATGGATCCATGCTTTCACTTTCTTTGTATGTCTCGAGAACGGCAAAAAAGCTTTCCTCAATTATGTAAATGCCATCACCTGAAAAAACAATGAGCATTTATTTATAAAATTTAGAAATAACATGATGAAAAATGATCAAACAATTAAAAAAAAATTTAATCATTACCATCGTCGAAAAATTTACAATCATTCGTTCGTTTTGCCTTTTCATTTTCTTCTCTAATCTTTTGCAAAAATACGCCTCTCTACGCCAGTTCACAAATTTTCCTGGATTCAATACTAATTTTTTCTATCCACGGTAACACTGTGTCTTGATATTCTTCTTTGAGAGCTGTTGTCGCCGATTGGTTGCAAAAATTCCGACATCTTCTTGCAGAACTAGAACCGAAAATACGACCAGTTCCTTTTCTTTTTCGTCCCATTCGCGGAACGCAATCCAAACAAGTTTCAACAAAAATTCAATCTCTGAAATTATTTCGATTTAATTGGCACATAAACACTATAAAACAGCAATGCTCAATCTAATAGCTGAACAGAGAAGAAACACACTTGACACTTTTGTTTTAAATATGCCAAAAGAAAATCCAAGCCTCTTAATAGTGATCTTACTTCGATGAAAACGTCGACACAATTGATATCCACTCGGAATAACACTCGGTACGATGTAACCAAAACGTTGCGAAATTTTTGTTACGAAATTTCCTAATTTGAAATGACTTGTGTGACCAGGATAAAATACACAGCATTTTTCGCATAATGCATTGTATTATACCTTCAAAGTACAGTATTGTCTTGATCTGAACCAGTTAGAACCATCGACAGCAAATATTCCATGTTTGATGTAAGCAAAACTAAATTTGTTTTTTTTTTCGGTTGAGCGATGAATTTTGTAGTTGACATTTTGCAAATGTTCTGTTATTTCTAAACAAAAAAAGAATCAAATGGAAAATTGACGGCAAAATTCATCTCGAAAACACTCCTGTGATTATTATAATGTGATGAATTCAGAATAAAACTATGGCTACAACTAGGGGCTCGGAAGTATTTTTTATTGATGAAAAAACACACATAATCAGAAATATTGATATATTTTGAGTTTAAACAATAATAATTCACGAATATTGGTACATTTTGAGTGTGAAGAATACTGTGAATAATTATGAATATTCCCAATATTTTGATTATAGTAAATTTGAAAATGGCGGCAAATGATGTATGTCATTTTGTGGAATGTTATTTATAAAATCACACAAACTTAGAACACTTTTACCTATACATTTTTGATGTTCTTCAGTCAAATTATTTTTTTATCAAAGAAATATAAGTTTTTTAGGCTTTTTTTAATTTTATTTTGTGTTGTGTGTGTTTTAGATCGGTGCCATATACGAGCTGAATAATGACAAATAATTACGTAAATATGAGAAATATTCAAAATATTCTCAATATTTTCCATTTATACATACACCACATTCATACAAAATTGTCAAAACTGTGTTCATTTTGTTTTTTTTTTTTTCATGTTCCGAGCCCCTAGGGTTACAATGACAACAATTGTGTGAATACAACGAAATTCAACATTCGTCGACACAAAGAACAACTATTTAATTTTCACATGAATGTTTATATTTCTAAAAAAAAAGAACTAAGTATAATTTTGATTCTATTGTGAAATTGATTATGTCGCGCAACTAAACTGTGAACTGTCATCATCACACTGTCGCCACTGGTCCATATCGATCACAAATGCTTGTTTTTGAAATTGATACGTTGAGAAAGTCTTCATTGAAAAAATGTATGCGTTTCATTTCCTTAACAATCAACAACGGAACATTTATTTATATTCTTTCCATCAAAAACATTAAATAAACGAACAAATCTTCGGGAAGTCTGAATATCAATGACTATGCAATGTGAATACAATTAAATGACACAGAATTTTTGAGACACTTCAAGGATGCAATGCGACCATATATCAGAAATGTATTTAATTTTAATTAAATGAATATTGATAGCTCACAAGACATTGCCAATTTTTTTTTTTTTGAAAAATATCAATGACCTAGTCTTAAATGAAATTTACTTGTTTTTGGTACATGACGAATAGTTAATGATACGCGTCGATTACGTGCGATGGTTACACCAATTCGATTAAGCTCACTACTTTGATCCAAATTCACTAGATCTGCGGTTATATTGTCGTGTGTTTCATCAGCAATCGAATGCAAATAATCTGTATACATATCATCTTTAACTATTAAGAGGCTACGCGGCTCGATGAGTAATTGACAAACTATACTGTCAATATTTCCGGCCATTGTATTATTGTCATCACAGTCTTTGTCTAACATATTGTTCTTGTGGAATCGTAAAATTGTATGTGAACCACACGTTAGAGTACAGATTATTGGATGGAAAAGAGGTCCATCAGTATGTGGCATTATTCCCTGTAAAGATATATAAAGAAATATGTAAAGAAAGACATATTCAATAAAATAAATATTAACATATAACAAACAGATATATACTTGGCCGGGTAAATATTCATTCACTAATACATGGTTTGCTTTCACCTGATTAAAAATACCTACATAATAATAACCGAGAAAATGATCGGATCAGCGAATATATGTGATAACAGATGAATATTTTGATTTAAGTTTAAATACCAGTATTATTCACAGCCGTTACTGTTTCTTTCAGCCAACTTGGCATTGCCTCAGCTATCATTCCATTCTTATGCGGTATACCTGTGAGAGAAATGTGAAAAACATTTTAATTCGAGAGAAAAAAAATGTGAAAAACATTGGAGATTATACCGCCATAGTTAATCAATCGTCGATTGCACAATTGCGTCCATTTCGGTTTGGGTGTATTATCAATCTGTTTTAAAATTGACACTTCTTCTTCTTCGCTCAAAAATGATGGAATATAATACACTGAAGGTGGACACTATGAAGAGAAATATTAATAATTATCATATTTAAGAATATTCAACGAGAAATGCCAATTCGTTTTACCTTCTTTACTTTGAAACGGTTGAAATCATCCATTTGAAAGTAAAAAGTATTGACATGAGAAAAAAAAAAACTACTTGATTATTGATGTTTAATAGTAACAAAAACACCGCTTCTGAAATATTATGATGCGAGCTCAAAACATGGTTTCTTTTGTATACGATTTGTACGGAAAGTGACAGATGTCAACATACACTGTCACAAGTTTGACAGTGTGCGTTATTCTGTTTTGAATTTTAAAATATGTTCCATTTCACGAAATCTCCCTAAATGACATTGTAGTTCTTTAAATTAATAAAATTTAAGTAACAACGTTGATTATGGAAAGGCTCATATCTTGTCGGTGCTCGAATTTTAGAACAGTATTTTTTTTTCTTTAAATCAGTTCTTTGTTTTGCGAAATTTACATGTTTTTTGCGTTAAATTTGAAAAACTGTTCAAATTCATAATAGAAAATCATCATTATCATCAAATAATCCAATGGGATTTCACTCATATACTCTTTTATTTTGTTCGTTTTATCATAGGGTTCACTCATTTGATACACACTTTGTTTCTATAGAAACACGGGAGAAAAGAATGTTAAAAAACATGTCCAAACCTTTATTACCGAAACGATTGCTCGGATCAGCTAAATCATCTTTAGATTCCGATTGAAAGGATTGGATTAGAATAAAAATTCGACTTGAAAAATTATTCTAGCTCATTCAATTAGTAGATTTATGTTGAAAAAACTATTAAATGACGCATTAAAAAAGTAATGAAAAATGATAAATAACGACATATTTTTAAAATTTAGTCACTCCAATACACTAATCTAATTATATATATGATTTTCAATAGTTGCAATCTATATCTAATCTACAAACGATGTCTCATCAGTAAAGAATATGTAAAATAAATAAAACAAACGCAAGAAAATTGAGAACGAAAATGTAAACATGTCAATAGTTCATATGACATAAAAAATGGGATGAAAAGACATTACAAATTTTCCAAGACAATTTCAATCAAGAGCTTAAATTTAAATCGGTTTAGTTACATGCTGAGTTGGAACTATCGATTAATAAATAATACAATATAAAATTCCATCAATTCAAGCGTTATTTAATCAAATGATGTCTCTATCTCACTCCTTTTTCTCCTTTCTCTCACTCTTTTTAAGAGAGTCTTTTATAGCCGGTGAGACGAGAAAACGTACACTTTTATTGAATACAGTTTCAGCGTGGCATATATAAATTTAGATAAATTCTTTGATTCATAATATTTTAATTGAAACATTAAATTTTCGACAGAACACGTATTAATGAATGATAGTGTCGAATGATAATGACCGAATGAATTCGCACCATCGAGCATGCCATTAGCGTATAAAAATAGATTTTTTTCTTCCAGGAAGTCACCAAATGATATTTTAACCGGTTTTGGAATTATGAAAATTTGATTTTTATGCCAAAACACCCGATTGGAATGTTGCTTAAAAATGCTTATTTTGTGTACACATTTTTTTAGCTATGAATTGATTTGATAAAATGTCAGCAGTGAATTATACAAAAAAAAAATGTTTGGTGGCTATGAACTAAAATTAACAAATACTACACATTGTATTTTCGCGAGTGTAATCGATTGTACAAAAACTGCTTCATGTTTGACCCAATCATTTTCTTAACTCTTTTTTCGTTTTTATAGTATTTTATTTTCAGCTTTTGCTTCAAATGTTTGGTCGTTTTCGTTTTAAAATTGTATTCTTCGTTTGACAGGAATTCATTTTTATATTCTAAAAAGTACAAATATATTAAAACTCAGAGATTCTGTTGAACCATTGTGTCTTGAATACGACTCTGAAAAGTGATTTTTTGCGAATCCAAATCCAGTCTAGGAACGATTAGATTACTTTTGGATTTGCTTTTCGCTAAGATGTTTTATTGCTCAATCATCTTAAATATGATAAATTTGTCATAGAATCCAGTAAGATTTATATCCATTGTGGTGCTTAGAATCCAGAACAAATGAAAGATGAATGTTGAATAATGCAGTATGATGTTGTTGAAAAATATATATACCAACGAAACTTTGTGGGTGCATGAGTGTGTTGTTGTTTGAAAGCAAAAAAAGCGGTGAAAGTACAACATTCTCGAGCTCGAATATGTCTACTGTCTGCTATTTTACTGTGTGCAGAGAATTCAACATGGGAATTGAGGAAAAGCGTTTCGGGTCGGCGCATGCTCTGAAAATTAACATGTCCAATTGGTAAATCAATGTCCTCGTGCACCATACAGAAAATTCTTGCGTGTGTTGCGATGTATTTACGTAGTGAAAAACGAAAGCACGGGCGTATTCCGTGCGCTTGATGTTTTCAGAAGAAAAACTTTCGATGGCAGTACCGAAAGCTAAATCAAAACTGGCAGAATACCCGCTTAGTTGCTCTCGTCATAATATTCGTTGTATGTATATTCAGTTTTGTGTGTTTTATTGTTTAAACATTAGGTTTTGACCGAACGCAGAAATTACCTGCAAATATTTTTACCCAAAAAATGAATTTGAACAATTGTTGACGAAGTTTGTGCATTAAGTTCAATATCAAAGCGAATAATTTGACGCAAATACGGTGTTTAATTCACAAAATTTTACCCAAATTTTTCATTTCTTTGCAAAGCATTTTTTTTGTGTCGATGCTCGTTTTCACTTCTAACTATCATCGTCGAGTATATTCTACGAGTACAAGCATATATAAAAATATATGAGAATACTGTGCACAGTATATAAACATGGTTCAGTGTGCAGAAATTTGGTTGGATAATTTACAGTACAGAGTGGAATAGTGTTGAGAGCATGTAAATATTGCTTTTTACAGTTTTATTTTGGTCTGACTCAATAAATTGGTATGATATATTAAATGCTGGTCAACGTTTTTCTCTTTTTATAGGGATGTTGTTGTTGACGGCCTCGTTGGCACTCTTTCATTCGTTTAATACATATAAATAGCATAATACTTTATGCCGATGATTCGTCGAGTTGCTCATACAATGTATCCGGCGTATCATATCATTCATTCAAATATAACAACAACGGAATATGAAAAAAGAGAAAAAGAAATGTTTATGTTTATGGTCAGATCTGTTTTGGGATGTTCAAAGAAAAATTTGAAGACAATAAAAAAATATGTTGAAAACCCACTTTCCTTGATTGATGCAGCATTAAAATGATTTATGTTATCAACTTCAAAAGATAGAAAAATATTTACTTTCTGGTATCTAAAATGGCAAGTGAATCGATTGACATATATGGACTATATTTACCATAACACCCGATAAGAAAACAGTAGATATACGGATATACAATGGTTCCTCTACAATGGATAGTTCCATTTTAACAGATTTGAATGTGTGTTATGTTAGATAGAAATAGAATTAATAATGATTTTAATTATCATTTCCTAATGTCAACTGTGTGTAACATTTAACCACTTCGTATAGTTTCATTATACTCTAATGGAAAATAGTTATGAATTATACATATAATATGCAGTCAAAATCTATGTTTAGTCCTCAACATATTTTGAGGTGTGCGTGCTCAAACAAAGGCCTATAAAATTTTTAGCGCATGATACAAATTTTGAAAAGACTACATTAATAAATAATATGAGTTCGGTAAAATTTATGATTTTTGTTGACTACTATAGTAGAGATTTTTGATGATAATTTTATCGAAAACATAAATTCACGGAACTCATTTGATTTTTTTTTTTAACTTTACGGATTTTTTGTGTGCGATGAAGAAGAAATCTTTTACTTAACAAGCAACTTGCTTTAGACCTGAAATGAGACAAAAATTGTCTTCTATAAAAAGATAGAAGAAACAAATCGAAAAACGAGCCCAATCAAAATGTTTACCCCAATTTCTAGTTTCATTTTCGTTTCGTTACGTGTATGTGTATGCTTTTTTGTTATTCTATCCATTAAAAGTTCCGCTCATGCATGGCAATGTCGTGTTAAAAACAAATAGATTGCTTAGTTACCAGTGAACATTTGAAGCATTGATTTATATTAGAAACGACTATGTGCTGCAATTTAAACAAAGATACAATCAAAAAAGTAGCAGGACCATTTTCAAAATATAACACAATAGTTCCATGAGTTTAAATGTGAAAAAAGTGAAAACGGAGAGTAAAAAATAAAGTGGGAATGGGAGGGTGTTCCTTAGTATATCGATTCCACTATCACTTCTCGTTTATACTTGCAATCTACACAATCATCTTTATTGCATATGTGTGTAAAATATTGTGCTTAATTGGAAAAGTTTGGTTTTATGGACGATTACTTTATCTAAAAAAAGAATCTATCCGAACGAACAAGCGAAAACGATAATTCATCGTTGTTTTTTCCATTGATAGTTTATGTTATATACTCATCTAAAATAAGTGGTTCTATAATTATAAATATACGCTGGCTGCAGAATTTCACAAAGGTTTGATGCATTTATATTGAATTGAATGTAACTAATAAATAGTACTCAACATTGGAAGAGGATGAGTGGTTTCATGCACGTTTTTTTCTAGCTTGAATTTCTTTCGTTGCGTATAGAACGTTAAAATTATTCATTAATATTCCGTCGGACCTCTAGGTCATAGTGCATATATACAAAAATGTTGTTATATTACGTGCGGAATTTTTGCGGCATATTTTACTGGCTTTTTCTTTTTTACAAAAATGAAACGAGATTCGGGTGACATCCAGCCAAAAAAGAAACTATGGATCACGAATCTTCCTCATGAGAAAAATAATAAAGTTTTATTTAAAACGTTAATGAGTAAGATTGTCAGGCAAACAAGTATTGTCAAGTTAATTGATGCATATCAATAATTTTGTGTATGATTTAATCCGGTGTGCGATTATCCATCTTTTGATGTGCGCAATAATATAAGGTGTTCTCCTATCTCTGTTACTTGCGTGTCAAAATACTGAGAATTTCCCGACACCGAATGAAAAAAATTGTTTATACAAGATATTCGCGAAATACCGATAAAAATGTTAAGCAACTAAATTACTTCTAATTAAAGATGACACATTGAATATACACATTAATTAATGGTGGCAATGGACAAAAATGTGTTCCATTTAATTGTGAAAACTTTGGCCAAAGAGTATATATTTTCGGGTGATGTTGAAAAAATTCATCCCATGAGTGGACGGAAAATATACAGTTTTTTTCGGACAAGGTCGTTTTATGTCACTTTTAACACTGATTTTAATATAAATACATCTCCGTTGGAGCTTGTAATTAAATTCAAAGCATTTAAAAATCATTTTTCAAAGTGATCATGACTTTTTCAGCTTAAAATTTGCTTCCGACTCAATTTTTTACGTCATGGCATTGACAACGCGATTATTTTGTGCATATTTCAATTTTAGTTTCGAATATCAAAAGCACTCACACATTCCAACGCATACGAAAAAAAAATCACATCGAAAAAAGAGATACCATAAATCCGAGTAAAACACATTTCGATCGCAACGCATTTAATTCACAAAATACGTTTTTCTACATGACCTAAAAATGGTTTCGCTTGACACCAACAGAAAAAAAGGAATCAATTCACATTACAATTAAATTGAATAAACAGTTAACAACAATAGAGACATTTTGCTTAATGTGAAACGTGATTGATTTCGTTCGGTGATTTTAGAGAGTATTAGAAAGGATAGTGTTTTCGGTATTTCATAGGGCTTGAAATCCCCTCAAGACAACTTTAAAAAAAAAAATTCATTTGATTATTATTTAATCAATTGTTTTAACTGTGAAAAAGATTTAATTTTTAAATGTTTATAAATGAAAAAAAAAAAAAAATATTTTGACAAGATTTTATTCAAAGTTCGAGTCAGATGATTGCTGGACATAGCTGGTGATTGTCATTTTTCGCTGGCTAACATGGATTGGTACTGCTTTTTGCTTGCTTCATTCGGCTTTCTTCTGATCAGTAAACATCCCTAGTGTCCTACAATTTTTGTTAGATTCTATTTTCACCACAAACTCAATATCACACGAAAAACCAAAACAATAGAACAATATTTATTGACAATTTTTTTATGGACGAAATAATGATGCAACTAATGACATATGACACTTGGCTATTCGTGGTGCTTTGCACATTAAGCACTACGACCCTTTGGTCTGGCTTTGTATTTACTATGATGACAATTAGAATGATTGTTATAATGCAAGACATTACAAACTAAATATTTGAAGTCGATTTTATTTTAATTGTTTAAATTTATGAAGCAAACCATATACAATTTTCAGTACATTTTAATATAAACTGACATTAATACCAACAACAAGTTCGCCACAGTTAGGGGTTAGACACTGGGAATCATAATCTCTTTTATGCGGACATTCTTTGATTCTGTGTATTAGTTCTATGATTATTTTTGTTATGTTTTAGAAAAATATTTCTATGTGTGTTCCGTTATCTTCGGATAGTTCAATTTTCTTATCACGATTTTTTTACATCAATCAGTTTTTGTACAACAAAAAATCAAATGATTACTATTGAACAATTTATGATGGATCTCGTTTACTGAGACCGATGTATGGCGCGTGTGCGTTTCTATTTTTATATAAAATAGAATGGAGGATTTCAAGAATACATATTATCTCGAATTGTCATAAATGTCAAAAAGTATTTAAACATAATTATTTCATTTCAATATATTTTTACATCTATTTTAAACATTTTATGTTTATTTTCAGGCATTTCAGAAAAAAATAATGGCCACATATCAATATGTTGAATAAATATCCAGAGGAGAAGCATGACACGTTTGAAACGCTTCCAAAAATAGCCAATCAAGCTTCCTCCAAAATTGAAAAATTGTGAACGGTGATCACCATAACGGCGACAAAAACTGTAATTGTGTTGAAGCTTCAGCAAACACAAAATCCAACCAGCAAAACAAATACTGAATTGGCAACAGCAAAAAAGCAATATAGGATTTTCGTTTAATATAATCAATTGGTTGCTAAATTATCAAAGGCCACACTGAAACAAAAGAAGAAAACATAATACAATCGGGAAAGGGAGAGACAGAGTAAAATTCTTTTTTTTTTACTAAAGAATGTACAGAGGTACTCAATCAGAAATACATAAAACTGCGCGGAGAACGTCTACATCAACCAATGGTTAAATGAAAACGACTATATCCACGACTCTTCCGATGTTAAATTCATTCAAAACCAAACTAACCATAACGTAAACACACACAGTGAATAGTATCATATAAAGAAACTACAATGATTATGGAAAAAACGATGTCAACACAAAAAATTGCATATACAGAAGAATAAAAACGACTGCCGAAATCGAAAAAACAAGCCAAGTGAATTTATTTTGAACCACAGTAGGCACATGAACACACGGCCACTTGCACTCTTGGGTAGCTGTCAAAACCAAAGTTGCCATATATACATAGTGTGTGTGTGTGTGTGAGTGTGTGTTTGTACATGTATATGCGTAATGTAAATAAAGTGATAATAAAAACGCGATTACACAAACCGAAAACGGCAACAAAACAAAATACGAACGAACAGAAAAATTCCATCGTCCTATCGATTTAATTTCAGTTTTTGCTTTTGGCTGACTGTGAAATTTCGTTTAATCAGCAAATATGAAATGATGCAAAATATTAAAATGTAAATGGTTTCAAAAACAGTTTGGAAAAAAGCCCACATATACGTACAAAAAATGAGAACAGTTGAAAAACTCTGAACCACCACAATGTGTATAAAAAAAAAGTGAATAAAAAACAGGAAAATGCAAAAAGGAAGAAAGCCAAATGAAGAACATGCATGGAAATTGAAATAAAACAATAAATAAGCGAAATGAATAACAAGCTATGGCATATTGTATTTATTGCTTGAAAACGGCTTAAAAGTGATTGAAGAGTGAAAGAGGGAATTTACACACATCAAAATATATTTATTGTTTTTAGTTTCTTTGCATTTTCCGGACTATAAAATTCCACTGCGAATGAATAGTTTGTCTTTTGTTTTCTTATTACTAATGATAAACAATTTTACTAAGAAGATAGAAAAAACCAAAATAAATCTCATCAAGACTGAATTTAATTGCATGAGACAAATGCAGCGAAATGATTACTTCGAATGAATTTGATCGAATTCAATATTGAATTTTCTTTCAACATTATCAAGTGATATGGTGTATCAATCAACCGGGGTGTGCATTTCCTATTGCCGCTGAATTCGGATTTGTGAAAGAATCAAAACAGTGAACAATAATATATTCATCATATTTATACGTATGAACGCATCTAAAAGAAAAATATATACAAGCAAGCAATTTCCCAAAGGAAAAAACATAGATACGAATAAGAATAACAGTGAGAGCAAAAGTGCAAGATAAAAGCTCGAATATAAAATAATTACTTTTCAAATAATGACAAACTAACAAGTGAGCAATTCCTGCTTATATTGTGGAAACTATTAAAGGAAAAAATCGCAAATATGTTTGAAGTGCGCATACTTTTACTGTGTTTGCCCTCCATCCTACTGGCATCAACAGTAAACGGTGAGTATTTCTTCTTTCTTTTTTTTGCAATAGTTTTTTGACACATTTTTAAACATTTCACGCTTCAAATGAACATTGTGCATTTCAATTTTGTTCAAAAAGCACTTCGAACTTTGTTTTCACTTTCTCCCTTGTCTTTCATTCGTTTGTTCATATATTTTTTTTTATACGTTGTTTGGTATTTACATTACATCCCTTTAACAAATTCCATTTTTTCTATGTTCTATTTTAAAACATAGTTGCCATCACTTGCTTTTTTTTGAATATTATGGTCCATTGTGATCTGTACCACGAAAAAAATTCCGCACTTTCAATGTGTTTTACCATAAAGTAAAAAAAGTCGAATTTCCAAACCTCGGAAATTTGTTGGCCTCTGAGCACTTAAGAATACTCGTTCGTTCATGGAAATTTTTAAAAAATGCTCGTCCTAACGAACAAATGTTTTATTTTTTATAGTCTTCGATCGCAGAAACGAATACTACCTTACATACTTTGTAAGAGTACGCCATCCGTAATAATACACGTACGGATCCAACGGTTTCAAATATCCATTCTTTTTTGAAGTTTGTAAAAAATTAAATTTGCTCCGTGATACTGATTAATCTGAGAAACCAATGAATATTTATGATTTGAATAAAAATGAAATTGGAGAAAAGATAGCGAGTTGCTCTAATTGTTTTTGGCAGTTTTTGACGTCGTTCTTTATTTTATGAGAATTTTAAATACACAATATAGCTTTTGTGTTAATATAGCGTTGTAGTTTCATAGGTAAGAATTCGGCTCAAAAAACCCAGTAAGTCGAAAGAATTTTTCAAAGGGGCGTAATCTCCCGTGGGATTCAGTAGGTTCTTGACATACTATTTATAATACTTTTGTAGAAAAAATGTTCAATTTAATATGTGATTAATGTGATTAAGCTGCCTCACAATACCAATATTAAATTACGTAAAGTAAATGACAGAGCAAGCAATATGGATATAGACAATGTACTACGTGGGTCAATAATATCCGGAATGGATACCAAGCGTCAACATAAATAAAATTATCCATGTCACTTTTAGAAAGTAACATCCTTCAAACCTACAAATATAAAATTTCAACCATATCGATTCATAGACTCAGAAGTTACAACTCTTGAAAGAGACCTCCCGTTTTTTCTTAAAATGCAAAACGAATCAACAATAAATTTTTGTTTGTTATACCTATAAGTGAAGCCAAAACCGAGCTTTATGGTATTGTTTGGACTGTCTACTATCGACTAAGGCCATTAAGAAGTAGTCTATTGAGTTTGCATGTGGTCGTATAGGCCGAAGTAATCATTGTCTCCAAAATGGTAGTTTTTGAAGAGATGCTTCAATAAATCCAAGATGTTGCCATGAGAGACTGCACTATTGACGTGAATAATCTAGAATAGATCCTAAGCATTCCGTAGAATAGTTTTTGGAATTTATTACTTCAACTTTTGGGTAAAAAAAATCACTCGCTCTGAGTTTCCATTTATACCCAAAGTGGCGAATCCTTGGAAGTGTACTATTCAAAATATTGCTTTACCATCTTGAATGGAATGAAGCGTTGCCAAAAGAATAATCAATGTCATTTTTGAACTTTTTGAATCAAGAAAATACTGTTGTTTTTTTTTCTCAAGAAAATGTATACTTTAACAATGATCAAAAACCGTCTCGGGTGCACGTAGTGACCATATTTCACGAAGTTGAAAACGTATAAACTTCATAATGCTGGTGTGGACTGGAGGGGCCTTTATTTCGAGGTTATGTTTCTTCAAGTGGTGTAACTTCTGAGTCTATGAATCGATATGGTTGAAATTTTATATTTGGAGGTATTTATGTCACGTTATTGACACACGTAGTATTTTAAGAATTGAACGTTCATGTTTAAAGTGACGTCACTGTAACATTTTACACTGTCTACTTATCTTATATCCACAATGTAACGATGATGGTTTTAGTTCGATGTTTGTTTGGCAGTATTAATATCAGTAGTACCGCAAGAACATTTTACACAAACTACTATATTTCAAAATCCACAGATTTTGCGATGGAACATGATGAACCCTGATAGCCGTGGTAAATCGTGTTAGACCATGATTGCCACTTAGGAAGTATCATTCAAAAGATTGATTGACTAAAAACCAAATTGGAGTCCATCATTAGCTCACAATAAATAACGTTCAAAATTTTTGGAATAAGTTTGAAAAGTTTCGAAATTATCTTAATTATCGTTGTGAACAGTGATGTTCAATGTTAATTAAAATATTTATAGATAAAGATCTAAAAAAAGTATCGAGGATAATATTCAGGTCAATGTAGAATCTGTATGTTAGAAGATTCAACTTTCCTAAGAAGTAGCACATGGGTATTCAAGTTATATGGTTTGAAAAAGACATTTGCCTTTTGAAATAAGGAAGTTTGGAAAATTACAATTTATGGACTATTAGGCGTTTAACCATACCACCATGAAAAAAATGAGTATGTGTGAAAATAGTTAAGATATTTAACATTTCTGGATTCGAATGTAACAGGCGCGGCGAATCACCAGCACAAAATATCTTCGTGTATAAATGCAGCACAACACTATTTCATAACACCAAACGGCAAGTGGTGAGAGAATCGAGCGGAGTCTGTGTTGTCGTCACAAGCACACATAAACAACAATGCACATTTTCTGTGCACTTGATAGGTCACATAGAGACGGAATTTGCTGTTGTGATTTGTTCCTTTGTCTTTATTTTGACTCCCGTAACTGTGTAGCTGCTTCTGCGCTGCACCTATTATATTCGATTGTTATTTTATCGAAAAATTTGCAAATAATTTAACAATTTTTATACTTCTATTCCAATTTGAGTGAACAAATGACGAGAAATACTAACTTTCCTTTATTATGAATAAATTCGCTTAAAATACATACTCTCCTTTTGTAAAATACAACTTACACTTTTTTAAGTCAAACTAAAATATCTTAAAATAATTTTTTTAATTTGATTCGACTTACTTCTCTTTTGCTATTAACACTATTACCCAAGGACATACTTTCGTTTGGAAATATTTTCAGCTCAAAAATTACATACACCCCTATAGATATTCAATAGATATAGACTTCATTATTTAGATAATATAAGCATGCTTTCTATCTAGACTAAGATACATTATCTATCTTATTTTATCCGTTTATCTTGGGGCAACTCTGCTTATGGCGTAGATAAAATAATTATCTCCACCTAGAAATAATCCAAAAATTTAGATAATTGGAGAATACTCAAAGAAATTGTGGAACGTTCTTCTAATATTCAAACTTCACAATTTACTTGGTATCAGTTTGTTTTGAAATTCTGTATTAAATATAAAATTAATTTTTCTTTTATTTATTCGTTTTCGGTTTTATTTTATAGAGACCAAGTCGATTTTAACCGACGGAGATTGGAAAAAGCTTTGGATGGAGGCGGGAAATTCCAACGCAAATTTAAAAAAAGACAACTCAATTGATTCCAGCGACAGTCCAATATTTGATGACACTGAGGTAAGTTACAACCATTTCTAATCAATATCAAATCAAACATATGTGCCGCATATTCTATAGAACACAGAAACGAATGTTTGGTATCTTGAAATTTGATGGCAAGGTTTTAGCCGCAATTTTCATGCATTCCAATTTATTATATGATAATTCTGTGATAAGGATATCATGCCCAGTAAAATGATTTCATTGGCATCGAAAATAAGTCAATAAACTTGAAATTCAATATACTGAAATAAAATATAAATAAAATTTAACAGTGTACAGCAATATTTCAAGCAAGTTTTAAGCAACGTCATTGTTCCGGAAATGCTTATTTTCGGAAAAGTGAATAGCATAAATTAAGTGATATTTCAGGTTTTGAAATTACCAGAAAATCTTACAGTTAAAACTTGACTTTTTGATTGATTCTATCACAAAGCAGGTTTAACATTGTGTGCAGTGCTATACGTGTGATATATGTTTATTTAAATGGTCTTATTTTAAAATGAAATGTAGATCTACAGATGCTAGAGATGCCAAGGGAGTCGAAAAAAATGAATTAGAAAACTTCTATGAATACACTGCTCAAGGACATGAAGTATCAATATCAACAAGTATAAAAGGTCTTCAAGACAGATTTTATACGTAATGAATATATGCATGAGGTATCAATATAAATGCACAGAGGAAAGTGTATAATCGAAAATCGTCCATATACACCAACCATCAAGTGTAAGAAAAATTGGACAACAAACGAATAAAGAAAAAAAATACCCATATACACAGATCACTTGATTTACTGGTTTAAGCATGAATATGCACCAGTATGCCACATAATCACTAGTCGTCAATTATTAAACCATAATTTACCGAACATGTGAAGAGCAGATCGCCGATTTTGGGACTTTTATTCGACTATAGTTTGCTTTTATTACGTTCAACATAAAAGATCAACACAAACGAAAGCATTGAATAATAATAAATATGAATGTGAATGCACCAGTACAATTATGTTGAATCAAACGAAAGAAATAGCAATATAATGGCTTGACAACTTATAACAGCTGCAAAGACTAACAACAGCAACAGCAACAGCAACAGCGGCGGTAACCACATCCATTGCAAAGTAAATCGAAAGAGCAAAGAAGAAAGAAATCGTTAACGAACACCAAAAAAGCAAACATAAACAAAAACGAACAGACTTAAAAGAAGAAAAAGTGGGGTTTATTTTTGGTCGGTTTGTACAAAAAGCCCCTCTATGTTAGTAACTCGATCATTTCTTCGTTTAAAGTGAAAGGAGAAGTTACAGGTAGATAAATATTTTTTTTTTTTTCAAGTAGTGCTCAACATCACTTATATAGAATAAGTATTAAAACCAAGTAAAAAAAAAAAATAATAACAATGTATTGCAGAATGCAAAAGCGTTCACCTTAAATAAAGGCAACAAGAAAATCCATAGAAAACGGGTACATGAAAAGTAATTACCTTTCGCCTTCAAGTTTTCGTTAAACTAAGTGAACAATCGCGTTTGCGACGTGCAAAGTGGTGACAGTAAACTTAAATCGTTAAAAAAAATTAAAAGACAACATATTATCAATCGAAACAAGCAAACATTAATGTTTCAATAAAATATCCGAGCCGACATTGGTGATTTTCCTTACTTGACCATGTAATTTTTTTTTTGCAACGATAATTTTTTGATAAACGCGCGCGGCAATTCACAAATTAAATGATATATCCGCAAATTGAAAGCTGTACAAATATTGAAAATGAATTCAAATTCATGGCAATATTTAGGCATAAAAGCAAACAATAAAAAGGAACGGTTATACCAATGCCGTTTTAAAATTTAAAAAAAAAACCAAGTGTAAAGCAATAAATGTGTAAAGTGAATTCAACCACGGGTTTTTTCTCTTTTTTCACTGTTTTATTTTTGTTTGGTTTTTGTCTCATTAAATTAATATAGAGTTAGAGAGAATTCACCATTCATAAAATGGTACCTAAGGTTACGCGAAGAGTAACAAACTTGGTCTGGGTTATACATACCGTGTACAATATACGAACTAAGTTTCAGATTATTTAAAAAAACAACAACTAAAAAACCGGATTATACACTTTTGCTTTCATTCCATTTATATGTTTTAGTCGTTTTTTTTTTGAATTGAGCTTTACTTTTGTATTCAATGAGTCTTATGACTTTGGTTTGTTGTTTCAGTGATGTGATTTGTATATTTACAAATAAAGTCATGGCTTTGTACCAGAGGTGATTTTTACGCGTTTCTGAGTGCCTCTCAATATTGTATTTGCTGACGAATTTTGGGCAATAAGGCACACAGTAAAGTGCACAACAGCAATCCGGCTATTTGAGAATTAAGCAAACTGAGAGGGTCATTATTTTTGTTTTTTCTAACCATGTGTGCTTTTATTTTCGTTTTGGAGAAAACGCGGACATAGCTTGATTCGATTATTTTCAATGTTTTACAAGAAAATATTTCAGAATAAATATTATACGTAAAAAGTAATTACATCCATTAACGGACATATGATCATTTCACACACAAAAAATACTGTTAGTGGAATTGTTCAAACCTATTGATATTTTCATACAATCGTCACAACTACAGCATAATTGACATTTGATTTGTGGCGCAATGGAGCAAATGTCAACTGCGTTGTTGTAGTGAAGATCGTATGAAAATACCAATTGATATTTTGATAACTGTTGGTAAATTGCAATATAATAATAATATTTATTCGCCGCCAACCTTAGCTGAATCGAAATATGAGTGTATACATGGTGGATATAACAACACAACAGAACTGTCCACGAACGTTCGTTTGTAGCGTTTTTTAATTTACATTTTGTTCGTTCGTTCGTGGAATTGTGTTGCGTTCGTTCGTTCGTAGAAAACCAAATGATCGGATTGTTCGACTCCACAAGACCGAAGCGATTCGATGGCCTAAAGTCCAAATCCCGTAGAATTCGGCTGGTCCATGGATTCTAATTCAAACTGAATTGTTTCATTGAATCTCATTATGGAAGTTCTGAAGTACAGGCCATATCCCGGGTGTTGTTTGCTTATTTTTCACGATTTCTCATTGGAAAAGGGAGAAAAATCGACTTAAAGTTTTTCCTATTTCCATTCAGTACTGCAATACTTCTTTATATACGTACTTTTTATAACGTATTCGTTGTTCGTACGAACAATCTGAACAACGAATGAACAATTCGAACATTTGATTTTCTGGATGTATATTCGAATGTCCGCACATGTGAAAGTCGAAACTGGGGACTAGGTTTAAATAATTGTACCAAAAATGTACTTAATTGTACCGCAATTTATTTTTAATTGTACCTTACTCGTTTGGCTAATATTTGAGGTTCAAATTTCGGGGTACTTCAATTTGCCGGTCAACTAGCCAAAATAAAACTCAAAGATATTTCTTAAATTTTTATGGCTGATAATAATTGTACCAAAAATGTACTTAATAGTACCGCAATTTATTTTTAATTGTACCTTACTCGTTTGGATAATATTTGGAGCCCACATTTCGGGCTAACTCAATATTGTGATAGAATGACGAAAACAAAACTCAAAGATATTTTTTAAAGTTTTATAGCTGATAATAATTGTACCTAAAATCTACGAACGAACGCAACACAATTCTACGAACGAACAAACGAATGAACAAAATGTGATTTAAAAAACGCTACAAAAAATTCTACTCACCTACGGGCTCCGCCCCTCCGTACTACTGTACTCTTACAAACGTACAACAAGGCCACACAACTCAAGCCTAACCATAGCTTCTGACCCTGAGCTCCAGGGGTCGGAGGGGTTGGGTTACTCCCCAATTGCCATTGCTGATTTGATGCTTTATTACTGTACGTTCTCTTTTTAAATCATGTTTTATAACCATAAACGTAATTTTATCTGGTAGTCCGTTCAGCGACTAAATCCAATAGTTCAGCAATCGTTTTCGCTTGAAACGAAGAGAAATTCTTTCGATTTGCTAGAGATTTTCGCCGAAAAAAGTGATATAAGAAACAGAAAAAAACGCTTTTTCGCCGAGAAAATGCTTTCGATCTGAAAAATTGTGCTCGCACCGAGCTCATGCCCAAACTGTCACTCAACTAACACCACAACAGAATTCAGTGTAATCTATACTTAGCGCTAGATGCGCTACATTCTTGCATTTTATACAGTCTCTTATGAAATATAATTGTAGTATTGATTGTGTTCCTTGAAAATCATTTTTGGTAATTCCCGCATGTTCTCCATTCATCATTCATTATTACCACTGAATGGCCAAGTTTTTTGACGCTGATCAAAAATTTACACGATTTCGGACACCTTTTTCCTCTCTTTATTCCAAATGAACGATTGGCCGGCATCTCCGATCATCTCATTGACGTCTTATTGTTGTCTTTTTTCAAAATATCTCACCTCAAGAGCCGTTTCATCAGGTGTTTTCTGAACGTGTCCGACGCATTATAGCCGACGTTTTTACATTCGGATCGATGCCAATATTTCTTGCCTTCAAGATTGTCCGGCTGTGAACCCATATTTTCATTTCATATTTGCTTTGGTTTGGTGTACAGTACTGATACGGAAACACTATTGGTCACACTTTGATTGTTTTCTCATTTGATTGATTTTATCGACGATGAACAACAAATTCTAAAGATTTGCTGGATAATTGCTGGATCTCTATATTGTCTTTCGATGATTTATATTTAGCTAGACTTGGCTCGTTTGTCAGTACATTTTTATACCAAGAAAAGGAATCATTCACATACTTTTTAAATGGTAATCGCACAACAGCACAAGAGCAGATTATTTTCGGTGGGCAAAGTTTGGATTGTGCCAGAATATTTCGTGAATAGTATTCTATTGTTTGGTATCACTGTGAAAAACTTCTATTTGACATTGCATTTTATCGAACAACCACAATGATTCAAACCAATTTTTGTTGTCGCCATCCAATTGCAATCAGATTACGCAATAAAAGGTCGGCCTTTTTTTTGCTCATTACCATTTGTTAAATTGAATCGGTGCAAACAGTTTGGCATTTTGGGTGTCGATTCCATCGAATCTTTGAACATTTTTTCGATTGCGGTACCAGCATACCTCAAGTCGATCTTCACGTCAAGTGTTCAGATTGTCTCTTTTCATTACTTGGCCGTTTGACTAAATGTTTCTACCATAGCACAGAACGTTGGCGGTATGGGATATCGGCTGTTAATGTTGTCAATATTTTTGAAGCATTCAATATAGAAGTTTCGAGGATCTCGTCGCAAAAAGAACTGATCATTATCAAGTGCTTCATTCATTTTGAATAAAATCAAAAGTGATGCCAGGCCAATGAGGCAACTTCCGTCATTTGAACACGCTCATACTCGGGTTAAAGAATTTTATTGCAAAGAAATTATCTTGTTCATTTTCATTTTCGCCATCGTCGTTGTTATTTTTTTCTTCTTTTTTCGAAATTCGAACTTGTAGATTTATACATAAAGCAAAGAAAAATAAATAAATAAAATAAAAATGTTCTTTTGTAGATTTTTAAATAAAATTACGCAAATCCCTTTCCAAATGAATACAAATGAAACGATAGAGTTCACATTATGTTGTCAAACGAAATATTATTATTTTGGACTACTGCACATAATCTCCGTTTCATTTGACACGAAAATGATCACCAAAATGGGTCACAGCATTACATTTTCCAACATTAAAATGTATTAAAAACGTTAACAACATTTTTGTGTGCTTACGGCCGATAAAATAAAATGGAAGATAAAAAGCGAGATATAAGATTGGAAATAGAACGAAATTCGTTTTGTGAAGGATTCCTTCTTTCATCGCTTGTGCATATTTATATTTATGTCTTTATTGTTGGTATGGGAACAATATTCCTTTTCTTGTGTGATGAGCGCCAATCATGTTGGAACATAAATATACACTCATATTCGCTAGTTAACATTCATGAAACAAATGTTTTTATGACTATTACACGGGAATTATGCACGCTGTTAACTGTTCTGATTATATACATATGAAATACAGATTTCAGCATCAATTCAAAAGTGTCTTTCTTTTCTTCAGTAAGTGTCATTTATTTACCAAAATACTTTATCAAAACCATTGAGTGTAACACTGGCCGTTCGCATATACGTATTATAGGTGTAGATTTATAGAATCGAGCTTATAATTCTTTTCGATTTCTATTAGGAAACCATTTAATGTGCATGCATTGCATTTTTCTATTTCTCATTGTCCAAAGTCGGTGAAATAAAAAATTCGACACAGTAAGTGTGTCTACGGAGCCGAAAAGCAGTTCAATATATGAGTTATTTTCAACACGAATCAATGCAATAATTTACAATTGTGATAACATAGTGCAATTAACTTAGTTAATGGTAGCTTCGATTCAAAAACCATTATAGATCATAAATAATTGAATTCCCATTTGCGAATATTTGTTTTGCAATTTTCTTGTTCGATTTTTTCATTCAATACTACCAACGTAACACTATTTAATTAAAATTCAGACGTTGTAACAACAACAAAAGTTTCACGAAAAACAACCAAAACACCAATAATAGTACATTATTAGATTACGCTTTTTCTCTCTTTTTTTTAAATGAAAGAAAAATCAATTTCGATA